CTGGCCAGGAGTCACCATATTGGGTTTAAGCAAAGTCCCCTCAAGATAGATGTGATGATCGGCCAAAGCTTTGTAGGTATAAGCAAGAGTCATTTCAGTAACCTAAAAAGGATGTTTGTTTGTTTTTAGACTGTGTACTACTCAGTACCGGTCCAACCTCTTAGGCTAACTCAAACAATGTAAGGAGGAAGTGTCAGGTGTGTGTGGGGGGTTTAATATAAAAGCAGCTATCGGTTAATCTTGGTCGGGCAACTGGGCCGACCATTTATTCCTGCCTATAGCCACCTTAGTTATTCTGCTAGTCAAAAGGCTAGAGCTCACCCTAGGACATAACCGAAGGTATTCGAAATCGTAAAACCCCCCACTCTTCCCAGGATTAAAAACCTCCCCCTTACTCTAAATTAAAGCAGAAATCACAAAAAGAAACCTTAGCACATCGGTCAATATCATGATCACCATCACACAAAACTTCTGGCTCAACAATCGGAACAAGCCCATTCTGCTGACAAATACTTGCATAACGTGCAAGGACATTAGCATTCTCCAAAAGAGCCAAATGAGAAGGTTTGTGAAGGCCAATGTTGATGACACAACGCCATTTTGCAAAGTCACAACCGCCCTTTTTGTATTCAGCACAACGTTGAGAAAGATTGTCCAAACCTTTAAAGAAAAAGATTAGAAGATAAAAAATTTTGGTTTGCCCATTCCTGACCAATTACAAAACCCCGGTTTAGTACATTCTTCAATCCCTAGGCCTTGGAGGAAACCTTCAAAACTTGAACAGGAACCAAAACCAGGCAAAAAAATCAGAAATAGCCGTGGAGGGCCGCTCGGATTTTTTAAAACGGGGGAGGACTACCCCAACCCTTGATACCAAATAGGCTAATCAAGACACGGACCAATCCTTAACAACAAAAGGAACCTTGAGTTGTTCCCTCATCAAGAGTTCCAGCCAACTTAACAACTCCAGTATCCACTTTAATACCAGCAACTGCTCCATTCTTTTTAATCAGATCGACAAAACGTTCTCCACTATCCGCTTTCTAAAAGGCAAATTTTTTGTAAAATACTTTGTTAAATCTTTAAAAAACCTGTCTGAAGGTTTCATCAAAGAGAATTACTCCACTAATGTTCTGTCCAAAATTTGGAGTAGAAAAGAGAAGTTGACGATATTTGCGACGATTTTCCTCGTTGTTCTCAACACTAATGCCCTCAAAACGTTTACCAATAGAACCTGGAAATTGAAAAAAATTTATTTCGTGCTTCGTTGGTTAAATTAAAAAAATTACTAAGGGAGGGTATCCCGATTACTAAGGGAGGTAACCCGATACCCTTTTTACCCACAAGTCGGGAACGTTCCCACTACACCACCGAAGTGCTTGCTTAATGTTAGCCCAAAATCATTTTTAAACCCAAAAATCATTTTAATTCACCTGTGCTTTCATCGGCAGCCAAAATTCCCTTCCCGGGCTGAAGAATCTTCTGGGCAATAGCACGCAACTCATCTTTTTGCTCTTTGCTGAGAGGATCTTTATAAGAATCCATTGGAATTTTTAGAAAATTATTTTTGTTTAACTAAAAAAAGGGTTATTAAAAATGCAAAATAACCAAAAAATAGGAAAATAGAGGAATGAAAGAACAGAAAAACACATCCTTAGAACACTTCAAAAAATCAATAAATTTCACAAGTTTCAAGGAAATGAGCAAAAAAAATCGGGTACAGCCCATTACGGCGCGGGCCAAAACGGCGCGACCGAAACGGCGCGACCGAAACGACGCAGGCCGAAACGGCGCAAGGCCAAAACGGCGCACGGCCCAAAACGGCGCAAACCCTAAACTGCACAGTGATAGTGATTAATCGTGTTATTATCATGTGATCAACTGAGATTGATCAATTGATCTCTATGATCAACCTATTTGTGATCGATCTGACCTTAGCAGCCACCATTGCGTACACTGATCCTTCGAATTATTTAAAATCTGCAATAAGGTTTTGCGCATTACGGGAAAATTGTTCCAACAATGTGGAAGATCGTTCCATCATTGAGAAAAGTTGTTCCAGCAGCGGTGAAATGTTCTGACATCAACGACCAGAATAAAAATAACCAATTCTAGATGGTTACAGTAATAATATGGGGATAACTATATAGTAGTTATAGGGGGAACTAACAAGTAATATACCTATGTAGTTATAGGGGAAACTAACTAGTAATATAGTTATATTGGAACTATCTGAATCCCGCAGTTATACTTACTAGTAAGTATACGATCTAAATAGTTTTGTTATCACTCTTAATTTTTGTTATCACTCTGTTATCACAAGATGTTGTGGACCTTTACACCTGCTATTTTTTGTCCACATCACCAAAAGATACGATCACCATTCGAGCTAAACCTCACGTAACAATATGTAGCTTATGGGAAATTTTTGCGCCGTTTTGGGCCGTGCGCCGTTTTGGCCTTGCGCCGTTTCGGCCTGCGTCGTTTCGGTCGCGCCGTTTCGGTCGCGCCGTTTTGGCCCGCGCCGTTTCGGGCGTGTCCCAAAAAAATCAGAGATAACGTTCCTATGGTAAACAAATAAAATAAATACTCTCTCGAAGAGAGCAGAGAATAGGTCAAGGCTATAAAAACAAAAGTAAAAGAGAGAGGGAATGTATGTTTGGGTACAGCCCAAGTAGGCGCGCGACCACAACGGCGCAAAGCCATAACTTGCTTCAAGATTTTCGAATCTTTCAAAATTTAGCATTAAACGATTCCTCTCATCGAGCTGAAGAGATAGGTACCAAAATTGTTAAGGTCCAGGAATTTTCCAGGTAGTTATGGCTTTGCGCCTTCCTGGCCGCGCGCCTACTTGGGCGTGTCCCTGTTTATTTGCTAAGAGAAAAATGAATGCTTGAGAGTAAATTTGACGTTCTTTTATATCTTTCGAGAAGTAAAAATAACCAAAAAAAAAGTCATGATATTAAGGACAAGAAAAAATCAAGGACAAAAACAACCAAAAATGTGACGAAAAATAAGCAGATTAGAGGAAAAATACAAAAATAAAATAGCCCCAAATTCAAAAATATACAAAACCAAATTAGCCCCCCCCCCCCCCCAGTAAAGTGTTTACATTATAATACGCTAGAGAATAATATCGAAATTTCCGTTAGGTTACGAAAAAAAAAATAAAAATTACCTGCGATTAAATGGCTTTAGAATAAACGACTCCCGCGAATAAACGGCTCTTTTGGCGAAACGTCTCGCGACTAAGTGGGCTATACGCAAAGGGACACGCCCAGGTAGGCGCGCGGCCAAAGCCATAACAAGCCATAACTTGCTGGAAAATTTCTGGCCTTTATTAATTTTGGTACCAATCTTTTTAGCTCGATGAGAGGAATCGTTTATTACTAAATTTGGTAAGATTTGGAAATCTCGAAGCAAGTTGTAGCTTTGCGCCTTTATGGCAGCGCGCCTAAATGGGCTATCACACACAGACGGAAAAAGAACAGTAGAGTCTGGGCTTTTTTTTTTAAATTTATCGGAACACATTTCCTTTTTATTTTTCCTCAGTATTTAAGGCAACCTGATCATAGGCAAAGATTTAATCGCCTTACCATAATAAAAGAGAATAGACAACTCTTCAGAAAATACTCCAACGCCTATTAGTCTAACCGCCACTAACTAGAAAGTCTAGACTAGCTAGACATAGAACTAAGAGAAATAGCGTGTTAATTTAAGAGAGACAGGTTATACACTGAACCTTTTTTTGTTGGAGAGGGTAAGCCCAAGTAGGCGCGCGCCCACAACGGCGCAAAGCCATAACTTGCTTCAGGTTTTCCGAATCTTTCAGAATTTAGTATTAAACGATTCCTCTCATCAAGCTGAAGAGATTGGTACCTAAATTGATAAGGGCCAGAAATTTTCCAGCAAGTTATGGCTTCGCGCCGTTATGGCCGCGCGCCTATTTGGGCATGTTCTTTTTGGAGACTGTTCAAAAATCGTTTTTCCCCGTAGGAACGCGTTGATTTACTTTTTTGTTTTTATTCTTTTTTTACTTATTTTTTTGTTGTTTCAGTTGTTTTTAATCGTTCTAAAGTAGATCAATTCTCATTTCTTCAAATTATTTTCTTACTTAAACAATGTTTCCGCGTCGTTCTCGTTCAAAAACGCCTGGAGGGAATGGTATGAATTTAATTTAAAAATACATCAAATTTTTATCATTTCAGCAAAAGAAGGACTTTATGTGCAGACGTTTAAGCCTCTTCCTTCGATTCATAGTAAACAACGAATCAATGTATGCATAAATTTTTGTTTTGTTTACAATAGGTTTTATTATTGTTTGTCCTTTTTTTGGGTCTGTAGAGTCCATAAATAGCGTTTAAGGGGCAATGATGTGTCTCTCCTTTTTTTTAATACTATTTTTAGTTACCTGACAAGTTTATGTAAATAAGGGTTGATGGGGGGTATTTCTCTCTACTGAGCACCTTTTGTTGTTTTCCCATACCTGTCCACTCTCAAAAGGGGAAGGAAATTGACCAGTGGCCGGTTGGCGGTAGAGAAGCGTCCCTTCCTTGCCCTGGTATGGCTGTTTCCTTTTTGTAACGCGGAAGAGCTTCTCTAATCTAGGAAGAGGGCGTCTTTTGTACGTTGCGCCGAAATACCAAACCCCAAAAAGCCGTAGAAATACCCACTCTCCAATGGTGGTTATACCATTTTAGAGTGATCAGGCGCTTTGAGGAGAGTCTCATGGTTAGAGAAGAGTTTCTTACTTGCTCTGGTAAAGCTACGTCCTTTTTGTAACAGGGAGAGCTCTAGGAAGGGGGCGTCTCTTGTACGTTGGAGAGCGTAACGCGCCGAAATACCAAACCCCAAAGCCGTCGAAGTGCCTACACCTCCTATAAAGTGCCTTGATTGCCTCCTGATCACTCCCATATGAGGGTGATCGATCAAGCGTTTTGGAGAGGGTCTCATAAGATCCAGTTGACAGTCAAGTTCCTAACTTTCAAATCTTTTTTCAGATGTTAAAGAATAAGACTACAGTCAATGCTTTCCATAGCAGTCATTCGGCTGGTATTGCTGGAAAAGGAATTAATACATCGGTGAACTTTAAAAAGTTTTTTTTATTTTTTCCAATTTTTAGACCCCGACTACTACTACTCAAAGTGCTCCTAAGCCACGTGGAGCTCCTCCTGTGCATGAGGCAAGCTATTTACAGAGAGGGGATCAACGTACAGTCGAGGTTTATAATTTTCTTTTAAATTGTTATTTTTGTGGATTCCTGCTTTCCCAGGGATTTTTAGACAAAATTTTTTGTCCGCAAGTTTCGTCCGCAAAATTATTTGTCCGCAGAATTTTTTTTCTTTTCAATTTCATTTTTAGTCACATGACAAAGTTTATGTAAATAAGGGTTGTCGGTGTATTTGTCTAATAGTTTTCCTGTGGTTGGTTCCCTTCCTGTCTACTATTAAAACGTGCGGAAAGGCTTCGGTGGTCAACAGTGGATTTTCTTTAAAGTTTTTTTTAACCTTAGGCACCAATTTCTTCTCAAAGTGCTCCTAAGCCACGTGGAGCTCCTCCTGTGCATGAGGCAAGCTATTTACAGAGAGGAGATCATCGTACAGTTGAGGTTTATAATTTTTTTAAATTTTTGAGGATTTCTGCTTTTCTGGGATTTTTAGACAAAATTTTTTGTCCGCAAGTTTCGTCCGCAGAATTTTTTTCAATGCCATCTTTTGTCACATAACAAAGTTTATGTAAATAAGGGTTGAGGGGGTATTTGTCTGGCTATAGATCTGCCTGTTATTGTTTCCCTTTCTGTCCACTCTTAAAGATACGGGAAGACTTCGGTGGTCAACCTGGGTTTTCTTTAAAGTTTATTTTTCCCAATTTTAGACACCGACTACTCAAAGTGCTCCTAAGCCACGTGTCGTTCCTCCGCAGACTTCTACACAGCAGACTCCAAGAGCTCCAGTTGTTCATCCACAAACTGCTAGACCTTCAGGGGCTGCTGGTGTTCAATCTTCAAATAGTATGGGAAGGGTGAAGAAGGGTCCACCGAGTGATCCAAGGCTTCAAAGTGCTTCTAAGCCACGTGGAACTCCTTCTGTACATGAGGCGACCTATTTACAGAGGGGAGATCAACGTACAGTTGAGGTTTATTTTTTTTAATTATTTTTGAGGTTTCCTGCTTTCCTGGGATTTTTAGGCAAAATTTTTTGTCCACAAATTTTTATTGTCCGCAAGTTTCGTTCGCAAAAATTTTTTCCTTCTCAATGCCATCTTTAGTCGCATGACAAAGTTTATGTAAATAAGGGTTGATGGGGTACTTGTCTGCCTATAGATCCGCCTGTTATTGTTGCCTATTTTGTCCACCCTCAAAATATGAGGTAAAACTATTCGGTGGCCCTCTCTTTTTTCTCTAATTTTAATCTAAAATTGGTCTGAAAGTCCCTCCAAAATATTTCTATACCCCTAAAACATCATGGCAAATATTTATTTTTTTTGTCCGCAAATATTGTCCGCGCAAAAATTTTTGTCCGCAAATTTTAAATTTCTAAGACTTAACCAAAAATTAATTATTTTTAAAGATATCTTCTTCATCGACTTCAAAAAAACGGCAACATGAACGTCTTCCACCAATGGACAATAATGTTATTCGTCAACAAGAAGTTTTTCCGCAAATACTGTCCGCAAATTTTTAAAAAATTATTTTTAAAGGTAACTGCACAATCACCACCTTTCAAACGTCAAAATCAGCCTCAACAACGCCAACCTGAGCAACTTCTTCCAACCCCAACAATTCAACAAAAAATTGTTGGTGGTGGTCAGCAACAACGAGAAGAAGAAGCTGTTTGTCAACAATCTTTAACTTCTCAACAAAATAATGGAGAAATTTTTAAATTTGTTCAAATTATTTCTGAGCAGAACGACCTTATTAAAGAAATGTTGGTTTATTTTTTTATTAATTTTTTAGAGCTGGGTTGGGTCTTGATTGTTTTTATCCCTAATTTTTATTGATTAGTAAGTGGGGTTTTAGCCTAAGCGAAAATTTTTATGGACTCCGTTAAATTTGAATTTGTTTTTAATTTTGTGTACAAAATTGACAAGCACCCCTCCCTGGATATGCCTTTGTCGAAAACCTACTCTTTTTTCTCAACCCGGCCCATCCCTTTGCGGGTTACCTTATCCCTCTGGCCCCCACCCCTCTCTACTTGCTTTTCTTTCCACAATTTCGTCACTTGACAAGCACTGGCTATGCCCTTGTCAGAAACTCGGACCGATCCGTAAAAAATTTTTAAACCCAAATCCTTCCGGCTCCCACTCCTCTCTACGGCTTCTTTCCACATTAGGGGACATTTTATAACGAGATTCCACCGTATTTTTTAATTTTAAAGAAATCATCACTATCAAATCGTGGTGCCAGAGAAGATGAAAATGATTAGTGAAATTACTGAGAAACTTGCAAAATTTGCGGAGGCGGTTAAAACAAGAATTTAACGAAGACTATTTTTATAATAAAGAATATTTATTTATCTATTTAAAAAATGCTTTTTTGGTCTTTTGAAGAAAATATTGCCATAAATTTACTTTTATGTAAATGTGAATAAATATTGAAAAACTTTATTTTCTTTAAATTTATTTTATGAAATTATTATTTTTTTAAATACCCGTAAAAAATATTCTGTTTGTCCGCAAATTTTTTGCGGACAAAATTTTTGTCCGCAAAATTTTTTTGCCCGCAAAAATTTTTCATTCGTCCGCAAAATGTTTCTCTTTTTTTCCTTCGTCTGCAATTTTTTCTCTCGTATGCAATCTATTTACTATTTGATTTTTAAACTAGAAAAATTTTTTAGCTTCAAACACACCTCTAAGCTTGTGGCATGGCTAGAGCTCACAAATGTGATGTTTGCGGAAAATGTTTTAAAACACGAGGAGATTTAATACAACACAATCGAATCCACACCAATGACCGGCCGTATGTGTGCCAGTAAGTCTTTTAAGTTTCCAAAAAATTTTTTCGTCCGCAAGTTTTTGCGGACAATAATTTTTGTCCGCAAGTTTCGTTAGCAAAAATTTTTCTCTTTTTTAGATATTGCCCAAAACGTTTTAAGCAAAAGAGCCATGTTGAACAACACGAACGAATTCATACTGGCTCTAAACCTTTTGCATGTCAATTTTGTGGCCATCAGTTTCGTCAAATATCTCAACAACTTGTACATGAGGCAACCTATCATGGATTGAATCAACGTGAAGTTGAGGTTTAATTTTTAAAATTTTTTTTGAGTGGTCAACCGAAGTTTTTTAAAGAGTTATTTTCTAATTTTAGGCCCCAATTACTCCTCAAAGTGCTCCTAGGTCACGTGTTCCTCAACAAACTTCTACACAAAGCACACCAAGAACTTCAGTTGTTCATCCGAAAACTACAAGACGTGCTGTGGCTTCTGCTGTTGTCCAACCTTCAACTAGTAGTAGAAGGGAAGATTTACCAAAAAATTCAAGGCGCCAGCCTCAGACAGGTTTATATCTAATAATCACTAAAATTGAGGAGTGAGAATTTAGCCTGGGAAAGTCTTCCAAATTAAGGTTGTCGTCTCCGTTTTTTCTGAACGGAAAATTTACGGTTAAATTTCGGAATTTACTATAGACAACCCTAATTCCAGATTCACTGGTCCCCCTTTCCCCTGACCTTTTTGGGATTTTCCCTCTTTTTTTCTTATTCTTCCACCAACTCTGGAATCGGATCAACAGTCCATAGCGGCATATTACCCCCAAAATTATTAACAGCTATCTCCTTAAAATATTTTCTAGATAAACGTCGTTCGCCAACTCGTTTCATTCCAATGCCTCAAGCACCGCAAACTGCTCCAAAGCTTAATTTCAACAAAAATTCCAGTCATATTCAGAAATTTGAGGTTTTTTTTAATTCTTAAAATAAAAAAATATTATTTAAAGTCATCGCCGCCCCCTAAGCGGCATCGAGAACGACAACGCTCTGTACCCACACCTATTGTGCAAAAAATTGTTGTACGGCGGTTTGAGGTTAAAAAATTTTTTTTTATTCGATTATTGACCCCCCCCTCCCCCTCCTCTCTTTCTCTTTAGAAAAACGCTGGTTTTTTAATTTAATTTAGAATTAGTCTGAAAGTCCCAAAAATATTTCTACACCCCCAGAACACGATGACCATTATTTTATCTTTTTGTCCGCAAATATTGTCCGCAACTTAAAAAATTATTTTTAAAGGTAACTACTCAATCACCACCTTCCAATCGTCAAAATCAATCTCAACAACGCCAACCTGAGCAAATTCCACCAACCCCAATAATACAACAAAAAATTGTTGGTGGTGGTCAGCAACAACGAGAAGAAGAAGAAGTTGTTGTTCGTCAACGATCTTTAACTCCTCAACAAAATAATGGAGAAATTTTTAAATTTATTCAAACTATTTCTGATCGGAACGACCTCATTAAAGAAATGTTGGTTTATTTATTTTTATTAATTAAAGCAGGGTTAAGTCCGATTTTCTTTGGGGTTTCTTTTGATTTTTGAGAACCTCTACTCTGATTTATTATTTTTTGGGGCCTGCCCAACTCCTACTTCCCACCTTCAAAGGGAACGAAGTTTCAGCAGAGTTTTTTTGTTTTTAAGAAATCACCACTACCAAATCATTGTGCCAGAAAAAATGAGAATTATTAGAGAAATTACTGAGAAACTTGCAAAATTTGCTGAGGCGGTTAAAATAAGAATTTAATAAAATAAAAAAATAAAGAAAAATTTTTCTTTAAAAACTTTCCATACTTCACACTTTTTTATTTTTAAATTTAAATGTGAATAAAAGAGAATTCTCTCTCTAAATTGTTCTCCTCTACCACATTTTTCCAAACAAAAAATTTTTCATTTTTAAAATTTTTTGTAGAAAACGATTCTGAAGACGAAAAGAAGAATTTGATGAAGACGACAAAAATGAAATTGAAGAAGATAAGAGAAATGAAGAAGAAAAATTGAAAGAAGACACTTCTAAAAAATATCCATCAAAGAAGAGAACAACAACCAAAAGAACAAGATGAAGGTAACTTTGAAAGTTTTGAATTAAAAAGGGAATTGAAGAAGAGTTCGAAACAACTGCATGAGACTTCGATCTGAATTTAAGCAAGACGGTTAACTGTCCCCTACTTCCTTTAAGGCCCAGACTCCGGAAAAATCCGACCGGATCCGGTCCGGCGCCTGGCATAATTTTTAATAACTGGCGCTGAAACGTGCAGGCGCTAAACTGAGCTGGCGCTGAATCGTCCAACCAGGAAGAATTACTATAATTGTCTATCTTCTCTTCTTCTTACAGTCTCTCTCTTCTATTATTGATTTTCTTCTCTGACTATTGCTTAGACACGCAAAATCATAAAGTGGTTAGAGAAGTCAATTTTTATTTTTGTTCATTTTACAGTGGGGAAAAAATAAATCTGACTTCTCTGACCACTACATGGTTTTGCTTATAAGCAATGGTCAGAGAAGAAAATCAATAAAAGAAGAGGGATAATGGAAAGACAAGAGACGTTAGTTTGCTTTGTTGCTTTTTTAGAGAAAAAGGTTATTGATTTGTTTGCGTCTCTGTTTATCGATAACCTTTGTTTACTTTTTTGAAAAATATTTTTGTGATCGAGTCCAAAAATGAATATCACAATTTACTATTTTTTTCTAAAAACAATTTTTTTTAGTTAACAAACAATTTAAAATTGATGGAGAATTATTTCATCAATATTCTTCAACAAGTTCTTCAATAAACAACACTTTATTTCAACGTCCTCCATTTGATGAATCATTCATTTCTCCATCAAAACAACAATGGAAAGGATTCTTGTCCTTCAAATTCTTCAAATGTCAACAAAAATTGTTTGAAAACACCTTCCCGAATGATGGAACAAGCTGTTGTTTGAAAAATGTTGGGAATTGGTTGCTGATGACTTCAGGTTTTATTTTTTTTATTTTTGTGGTCCCTTCTGGGGATGGGGGTCTTTTTGAACATTTACAGTCATACATTGATCCCTTGTCTGGATCCTGTACCTGATACATTTGTTATGATGCACCTATGCATCTGTTGATGGTGCATCAAGGTTTTAGAAGTCCAGGTTCCCTCATTCTGTCCACCGGTGTTTTTTCCTTTTGTTGACACAAAATGGGGAATCAGGAATGGAGAGCCAGGCTTATCAGTGATCGGGATGTTCTAGGAGCGTTTTTCTGGCATTAAAAAATTTCCTTTTAACTGAATTTTTTCCTTTTATAGAAACTGCGCACAAAGCATGGCAAGAAGCAAACTGAGCAAAGACGGGGCAACATCGGTTGGCACTCCTGCAACAACACCACACATACAAGAAAAAAGAAAGGGTTTAATCCTTGAGGGGGGGGGGGTATTTGCGGACAAAACTTGTCGGTTTTCGACATTTTGAAATTATTTTTTTTTAAATTTTCAAGACTGTGCTCTTCATGGTGGTTGGCAATGCTCTTCCTGCTGATGGCAATGCTCTTCATACGCCTATGTGGCCCCCATTGGTGAATGACTTGGTGGACCCCCTTGGTGATTGACTTGTGGACCCCCTTGGTGATTGACTTGTGGCCCTCGTGGTCCCATTGTTGATTGACTTTGTGGTCCCATTGTTGATTGACTGTGGTCCCCATTGGTGTTTGACTGTGGGTCACATTGGGTTGGCCTTTCTCTTCCTGCTGGTGGCAATGCTCTTCATACGCCTATGTGGCCCCCATTGGTGAATGACTTGGTGGACCCCCTTGGTGATTGACTTGTGGACCCCCTTGGTGATTGACTTGTGGCCCTCGTGGTCCCATTGTTGATTGACTTTGTGGTCCCCATTGTTGATTGACTGTGGTCCCCATTGGTGTTTGACTGTGGGTCACATTGGGTTGGCCTTTCTCTTCATGGTGGTTGGCAATGCTCTTCATGGTGGTGGTCGTTCTTATCATGATGCAAGTGGACGTCGTGGCAATAAGTAATGTTTGTTTTTTAATTTTTTAAACATCCGCAAGTTTTGTCCGCAAATACAGGTTTCTTAGTTTGCTCCTATTATTGTGGGTTCCTTGGGTGTCCGTTTCACAAGTCTTTAGCGTTTTCCACTTATCACTCACCAACAAGCTTCAACACTTCCGTATTTTTTGGAAAGAATGGCACGGGTAGTGTTTTATTTGGAAAACATTTTGCTGCAGACTTGGTTTTTATTTAAATGACGAACAGCTTGCTCGACTTCCAATTAGAATGTCTATGGATTCGAACTTAAATATAGAAGAGAAGCTGCAGAGTCCATTCAGGTTTTTAATTTGTGTCTTATGAAATGAAATTTTGTTTTTTAGGAAATGGCTGAACGGTATAATCATAACATTCCACAACACAGAGGACATCCGGCAAAGCTGCATTCGCTTCAACAAGGGGACAATTGCTGGTTGCATTTATCTGGCTTGTGATTATGAAGTGTGAAAGGTTATTAATTCTTTTTCGGAGCTTTTAACTAGAATTATAGTAACTATAATTAGTAGAGTTAGGAAATTTAGGCACTAAAAAGTTAAAAATAGGCGCCTATATAGGCACTAAAAAACTGCCAAAATAGGCACTAAAAATGCGAAAAAAAGGCAAAATAGGCAGGATTTTTTCGAAATTTTCTTATTTAAATTGGCTAAATTTTATCAAAAATGATAAATCTAAGCAATAAACTATTAAATAAATTAATTTTGACGATCAGAATTACACATAAATTAATTTATATTAATTATTTTGTTTCCGAAAATAATTTGATAAATTTTTCAAAAGAAAATTTTTCCCGAAAAAATTTTTTGACAAAAATTTTTTGGAAAAATTTTATATTTTGCCAGAAAAAAATTTTTTAGTCGACAATTTTCTCAAAAAATGCCCAAAAATTCGCAAATTTTAGTAAAAATATGCAAAATAGGCTGAAAAAAGGCAAAATAGGGCATTTTTCCAGAAAAAGCTAAAATAGGCAATTTTAGGCAACGATAAAAGTAGTCAGAAAGAAGATTTCAGTAAAATAACACCTGATTTGGACGTTTCAGCATCAAGCCTATCTAGGAAAAAAACAGGCATTTGCCTAAAAATCCTAACTCTAATAATTAGGTCCCCAAATTCAAAATTCACATTTGTATATAGAGAAAAAATCTTCGTCTTTCGTAATGGCAGTTGGTTAAGTTGGTAGCTCTGAGGGGTTTCCTTTTTATTTTTCATCAAATAATTATTTTCTTTTAGATTTGAGCCCAATTGATGACGACGACCCTTTGGACAATTTTTTGGTGTTGCTTTGGCTTACAACAACATGCTCCTGAAACCCCGGCTTGAAAGGTTATTTAATGAGTTTAAGAATTCTTTCAAAAAAATTTTTTTAAAATGTTCAACTGCGGGTAGACAAACTCTTTGGTTGGACGATCCTGGCCAAAACAGACAAGAATTGGCGGCTTATGGTTGTGAAATTTTGAGAAGGGAAGGAAGGCGTGATTGAGATAATGTTAGTTCATTAATTTTTTTTTAGTTGAGGGGTTTTTTCTGAGTTGATTTCTGAACGGCTTTGGGAGTTTCAAATTTCCGATACAATTGAATGTATCTTTTTTTTCTTTTCATTGGTCCTAACACATAGTCTAAACTCTTCGGGGACATACTCGCATTCCCCAAAGACATTTGAAACCGTAATTTATTTATTTTTATTTGAGGGGTTTTTTGAGTGGACCATGCTCCTTCAGTCAGCTCCGATTTTTCCCTTTGACGACAATGGATAAATCGGTGAGTCAAGTCTATCAGTGAATGAAAAACTTTCGGTTTAACCGGTCCTGTCCAGCCCTACATCCCGCCTTCAAATGGGGTGTACTGAAGCTAAGTTTTGATCTTATTTTTTTGCTTTTAAGAACTTATCACTACCAAATCGTTGTGCTCGAGAAGATGAGAATTATACGAGAAATTGCTGAGAAACTTGCAAAATTTGCGGAGGCGGTTAAAATAAGAATTCAATTCAATGAAGAATAACCAGTAAAATTTATAACAAAACAGCTTTTCTGGTCTTTTACTGTTGAGTAGCACCCCGTCCCCCGAAACCCTGATCGGACCCCAAATGAATTTTTAGGCGAAAACCTCGACCCGACCCCCGAAGGCTTAACCCCCGACAAACCCCGATCCCCGACACGGGTGCTACCCTTTATTAAAGAAGACCATGTTTTTATTTTAAATTTAAAAGTAAATAAAAGAGAATATTCTCTCTAAAATTTATTAAAAATTAATTATTTTTAAATACAAAATAAAATTTATTTTTTAATGAATATCAAAATGAATCACAACAACCCTGAGAAGATTTAAATGAGAGAGAGAAGAAAAAATATTTTAGAGAATTAAATGATGATCTGTAGAGAGAGTAGATTGACTATAAAAAATATATGGGGATATTTTAAGTATTTTTATGGATATATATTAAGAAGAATTTCTGATTAAGAAGAAATTCTGGCCCTAACCTCAAGTTGAGATTTTCAAAAAATTTTTTGAAATTTCCTCAACATTAAGGGTAGGCCAGGAAAACGCAAAAAAAAATTTTTTTTGGCAGGAAATATTTTTCCAAAATTTAAAATAAGTCAGCCTAGAGATGTATTTGGCCAGCCCCAGAGATTTATTTAATTAGTCCGCAAAAAACTTGCGGACTTAATTTTTTGCGGATAAAATTTGCGGACTAAGAGAGGGACCGGGAAACCCTAAAAAACACCCTAGCAATACACTAGAACACTAAAAATGTAAATTAGAACTCTAGGGCTATGGCTAACAAAATAAAATGGATGAATTTTGTTATCTTTCTCCACTCATTATACGCAATTGTTCATCCAAATGTTGTTGTTGAAATTGTTGTTGGTGATGTTTTGACATTGCAGACATTGCTAGTAAACTATCAACTGCTGCATTTCTATAAGAAAAAAATTTTTTGAGGATTTTTTGCGGTTATTTGTCCGCAAAAAGTTTGCGGACTTTTCTGTTAGTCTGCAAATTTTTTGCGGACTTTTTTATTTGTCCGCAAAAAACTTGCGGACAAAAAATTTTTGTGCGGAGAAAATTTGCGGACTAAGAGAGAGGGACTAGGAAACCATGAAAAACTCGTACCTTTCCATTTGTTGGTGATGATGAAACCCTCCTCTTCCCCCACCATTTCCATCTTCGACAGCAGCTCTAAGCAATCCATTAAAAGACGAAGCCATTTGTTGTTGTGCTGCTGCAGCTATAGCTATTGTTGAGGTTGAAGGGGAAGAATTTAAAGAAGATTGTTGTTGCTGTTGATGATGTTGTTGTTGTTGTAAATGCCCTCCATTTAGAGATGATGCAGCTGCTGCGGCAGCTGCGGCGGCGGCTGCTGCTGCGGCTAAATGGTCGGAAGATGAAGAAAGTGGTGAACTCTGTGTTTTAAATTTCTAAAAAAATTTTAAAAATTTTTTGGGAGAAATTTTTTGGGAAGTTTCTTAGGTTTAAAATTTTGCGGAGAAAATTTTTGCGGACAAACACTTTTTGCGGACATGTCCGCAAATATTAATCGCAAAAGTTACTAAAAAATTTTTTAAAGTTTTATTTTAAATTTTTCAGATTAAAATTTAACTAGTTCCCATTAGGACACTTTTTAAATATAAAGAAATTTTTTTGAAAATTTTCCAAATCTTTTAAAATTAAAAACCTGTTCTGAAGATAAAGAATTATGCAAATCAGATGCAGCTGAACTATTTGCCCCATTCATAACTATTTGACCAAAAGCATTATTATTAGAGTCTGCAGAATGTTGTTGTTGTTGTGGTGGTGGTCTCTTTAAAATAAAATTATTTTTTTTTAATTTTTTAAATGAAAAAGTTAAACTAAAATTAAAAGAACTTGAAAAAAAATTTTTGCGGACAATATTTGCGGACAAAAAAATTTGCGGACATAAAAAATTTTTTTCAAAAAAAATTACGAACTCGTAATTTACACCATATAAAGGTGTTAAAAACAGAATAGATATGAATACGAATGTCTTACAGATTCCAAAAGCTTTGGTTCGGAAAAATAAAAAAATTTTTGCGGACAAAAAAAATTTCCGTTTTTCCGCTCTTCCGTTTTCTAATAAACCTTAAACATCTTTCCAATTATTTCAAAAAATCCCCAAGACATTAAGAATTCTCTTAAAAATAGTTTAAAATTAATTAAATACTTCAACACGTTGATCTCCTCTATGTAAATGTGTTGCTTCATGCCCAAGTTGTTGAGATCTTTGACGAAATTGTCGGCCACAAAATTGACATGCAAAAGGTTTTGACCCAGTATGAATACGTTCGTGTTGGTCAACATGGCTCTTTTGTGTAAAACGCTTTGGGCAATAACTGAAAAAAAGAAAAAAATTTTTGCGGACAAAACTTGCGGACAATTTTTTGTCCGCAAAAAAATTGCGGACAAAAAAATTTTTTTCGCTTTCTATTTAAAACTTACTGGCACATATAAGGCCGATCATTAACGTGGATTCGATTGTGTTGTTGTAATCCTCCTCGAGCTTTAAATCGTTTCCCACAAAGATCACACTCATGAACTCGAATCATACGACAATCTTCAAGGTGTAATTGAAGCTAAAAAAAGCTTAGTTTATTTTTAAAAATTTAAAAGGGTAGTCATTTTTGCGGACAATAAAGAATTTTTGAGGAAAAAAAATTTGTGGAAAAAAATTAAAAAAATTTTTTTTGCGGACTAAATTTTCTGTCCGCAAAAAACTTGCGGACAAAATTTGCGGACAAAAAGAATTTATGATGATAGTATAGAAAATTTTTTTTGCACAGAAAAAAACTAAATTTTTCTGTCCGCAAAAAAACTTGCGGACATAAAAAATTTTTTTGCGGACATAAAATTTTTTTGCGGACAAAACTTGCGGATAAAAAATTAAGAAAACTCACAGCATTTTGCCCCTGCAACTTTTTCGGACAAAAAGAACATTTAATCAAATCCACTCCAGACCGAACACTTCTTTTAACAGTAGAAGAAGAACTAATTGATTGTCTCTGTTGTTGCTGTTGTTGACCAGAACCAACACTACTACACGTTCTATTTTCAACAACAACATTTCCTCCAGGACGTAAATGTTGTGAATGTGAATATGGAGTAAATAAAGAAGAAGAATTTTGTTGTTGTTGTTGTGAATCTTGTTGTTGAGAACGTATAATTGTTGTTGTTGTTGAATTTGTTGGGGGAAAGGCAACAAATGAGGCAGCTGCTGCAGCGTTTGAACAACCAAATAAATTATTCATTTCATCGGGGAAGTGGGCTAAAAAATAATTATTTTAATTTAAAAAAGGTAATTGAAAAAAAGGTTAGTATTTTTGTTGCGGACAATATTTGCGGACAAAAAAATTTTTTGCGGACAATATTTGCGGACAAAAAAATTTTTTGCGGACTGAATACTTTTTGCGGACAAAAAAATTTTTGCGGACAATTTTTGCGGACAAAAAAATTTTTTGCGGACTGAAAATTTTTTTGCGGACGATATTTAAATAAAAATTAAAAAAAAATTTGCGGACAATTTTTGCGGACAAAAAAAAATTTTTGAAAAATATAAAAATTATTCACTTTAAATATCAACACACACTTAAAACCAAAATTTTTTTTAATGTAACATTTATTTTAATTAATTAAATTATTTGTGTGTGTGTTTTATTTATTTTGTTTTTGTGTGTCTATTTAAGACCAAAAATTAAAAATTTGTGTGGAGGCCACAATAAAATATTTATTTATGTAAGTGATTGAAAAATTTTTTAAAGAAGACAACCTTTAAAAAATTTTTTTACAAAATTTGGGAGACGAAAAAAAAATTTTTTTTTTCAAAAAAAAATTTTTTTACAGCGCTTATCAAATTAAAAATTAAATTTAAAAGAAAAAATGTTGCTAAAAACTAAAAATTAAAATTATGAGAGGTCAAAGAAAATCCCTATAGTTGTTCTCTAAAGAGTGTTGATGATGATCTTTTGCGAGGAAATTTTTGAAATTAAATTGGGGTAGCAGCCAGGGCTGCGCTTATTTCGCAATTTCGCGTTTCGCATTTTTTGGCGCGAAAAGTTTTGCCCAGCCCTGGTAGCAGCCCGAGCCTTTGGGAGTGGGATCGTCGGGGATCGGGATTTGCTTGGGTAGAGCCTTCGGGGTTCGGGTCGTTTTTGACTAAAAATTCGTCGTTAGCTGGGGTTTCAGGGGACGGGGTGCTACCCTAATTTAAATAAATATTCAATCAAGTCTTAGATTGGGAAGGTATTTAATCGTTGGGAATATTATTTTTTTAAATAAATCTCTTTAATGCTTGTATAAAAAAAGGGATATTTGTGTTAAAATGGATAGATAAAAATAAAAATGTCACAAGAAAAATATTAAAAATGTCTGGAGAAAGAAGATTACTGTAGAAATAAATATTTATTCCCCGTTAAGTAAGGCCCACTCCCGACCCTATAACTCAAGAAGGGATGGTCGCTTTTATATATTCTTGGTACCGTTGGATAGAGAATTAAATAGGCTACAAGATATCAAAAAATCAGAATTCTAGATTGAATGACAGAAAAGTTATGATCCAAAAACTTAACTTTTTCATTAAAAAAAGTGATCTTTCGGCACTTTATCGATCCTAACTTTTTTATAAATCAATCGAAAATTTTGATTTTTTGCTATCTTGTAGCCTATTTAATTTTCTATCTAACGGTACCAAGAACACTAAAAAGTATCAGACTATTCAAAAGTTATAGGACTCCGGAGTCGACCGAGTCGGTGTACTCTACTAAGGTTTACCCAAATAAATTTGTATTTAATTTTACAGTAAAAATAAAAAATAAACTTGAATTTAAAGTTTATTTTTACCACTATAAAAAGAATAAATATTTATAGGTATATTTATAAAACAAGTTTTTTTTTATAAATTAATATGAATAATAATAATTATATGTACTGTTAAGGTATAAAAATAATAATTTATTAATATTAATAGTCACGCAAAAATATATGCCATATATAAAATTAATTTTTTTGGGTAATTTTTAGGTAAAAAATCTTTTTTTTTGTAATAAAATAAATTTTTAGATTTTATGTAGTCTACTACCACAATTTTAAATACATCCCTCATAGAGCTGAAAATATGTGCTTAAAAACGGTACACACCTTAGTTGAGTATACACCGATTCGTTTGAGTTCCAAGCCCTATACCTTTTGAATGAAATTTGAGGGTACAACTAATTTTGTGTGTATATGAGAGGTTTTATAAAGAGCAAATCAAAATCAATAGAGATCAACACACTAAAGATCAATTTTATTTTTTCTAGTGTTAATCCTAGAGTTGGTACAAATTACTTCCGAGTGGGAGAGGGCTGCTGTAGGCTCGCATTAGGTAATTTAAAAATTTTTTTAATTCAAAACTACTACCTCCAGCATAGCTAGCAGCAGCTAATTGAGATTGCATATTAGCAAAATCTATTAATTGTTGTTGGGGAGGAGGGATCATTTGAACTACTCCTTGTTGTTGTTGATGATGTGGATGTTGTTGTTGTTGTTGATGATTATTTTGATTAATTGTTCTACTTCCTAATAAATTGTTGAGCTGGAAAAAAAATAAAAATTTACGACTACCCAAAAGATATAGGGGGATTATAATTGGGGGCATTATAAACAGATCGGATATGGGGGGATTATAATTACAGATCGGACCGAAACGAGGACTCTCGATCAAAAGCCTCGGTTATCAAAATCAACAATATTTTTTTTGAGAATTTTCGAGAATCCAGATTTTTTTCGAGTTATCTAGCTCGATTCCTGTTCGACCTTTTCCAGACTGACCTCTAATTATAATGTCAACTATAAAAAATTTGTGGCATAAAATTAAAAATCTTATTGGTGTGCCCAATTTCTGCCTATACCAATGCTGAAAATGTACTCTGAAAATTCAGAAAGATCTCCCAAAAAAAATTTTAAAAAATTGTTTAGTTTGTAAGTTTTGGAGAGTGTTTGGGGGACAAATAATGTTCACCAGAAAAAAAATTTCAAAAAAAATTTCAAAAAAAAATTTTTTGAACGTTTTATAACTCAAATTTTTTTAGAAAATTTTTAAAATTGAAAAAAATATTTTAGGAATTTTTTGAAAATTAAAAAAAAATTTTTTTTGGCTCAGTAATAAAAAAAGAAAAAAATTTTCTCCCAAATTTTCTCCACATCCGAGAAAAAAATTTTTTTAAAAAAGCTAAACAAACGTTTAAAAAAATTTTTTCCTTAATTTTATATATTAATAAAAATATATACTTGTGTGGATTAACAAAAAAATTTTTTTTGAAATTTTAGAATTTCAAAAAAATTTGGAAAAAATCAATTTTTAATGAATTAAATTTTCGGATAGTGGAATTTAATTAATTATTTAATGTTTATTTTAAATTTAAAAATTAAAAAAAAATTAAAGAAAAAATTATAGGACCCTCTAAAAATCTGACACTCTAATTAGAAGACCCTAACCACTCTTTAGACTAGGAGGCAAAAGAAAATGGGAGTAGGGCTGGCGGATGTCGAATAATGGGAAATCCTGGGATATCCGAACCGAAATAAGGATATAAAAAAAATTTTCAGACCCGGATATTTTAAAAGAAAATTTAAAAAAAATTTAGGCCTAGAGACTTATTAAAAACCGAATCGCCAACACTAGTAGAAGTTGGCAACTTTTTTGCAATTTTAGTCAAGTGGATAAAGGCGCTGACTACAAAATTGATTTTAAATAAAGGGTCGAAGGTTCGAGTCCTTTCACTTGGTATTTTTCAAATTTAATATTTTAAAATATTTATTGACTTATCCTAGGTTCCTAACGACTTTTAAAAATTAAAAAAAAATTTTTTTTACCAAAGTAGTAGGTGATTGGCAATTATTTAAATTCCCTCCTCCACCAACATCAAGTCTTCCTCCTCCTCTTCCTCCATTTCCTTCTCTTCCCCCTCCATTTTCTTCCATTTCTAATTGTTCATTACTTCCATTACTACATATAGATTGTGCTGAACCAGTAGAATGTAAAATACGAGAAGATGAATTTGTTGTGGAAGATGAGGAATGGTTGTGGTTGTGGTTGTGTTGTAAGGCCATCATTGGCCAGATAATTGAAGCAAATTAAATTTATTTATTAAAAAATAATAAAATTTTTGGAGCAGTCTTTTAAGTAAATAAAATTGAGAAAATTGAAGATTTGTGTGTTATCTTAAAAAATTAAAAAAAATTTTTCGTTAGTCATGTATTGAGAGGGTTGTAAGAAAATGGAGCTAAAAAATCAAAAAAATGTGTAAAATACAAAAATGTAAAAACAGGAAACTATATTTAAGCAATTAAAAAATAATAACATTTAATTAATTATAATATACTGCTGCTAAATTAAAAATTTAATTTAGAAAATTAAATTAAAAAAAAATTTTTTTATTTAATTTTTACGTGTATTCTCTCATTTTTTATTGTTTTTTATTTTTAAAACAAAATTATATATAGTTATTTAAATTTTGTTTTTAAAATAAAGGATTAAAAATCATTTTTAAAAAAAAATTGAAAAATTAATAAAAAAATTTTTTTGCTTCCTAAAAGATTTTTGATTTCATAAAAAATGAAATAAAAAAAAATTAATTTTTGCAAAATTTAAACACAAAAAAAAATTTTTTCCAAATTTTTTAAAATTTTTGTTTATGTCATCAAAAATTATATGCAAGTATTTATTAATCAAAAAAAATAAATCTTTTTTTCTATAGATAATAGAATAGAATTAACATTAAAAAAATATAAAAAATAGAGTTAAAAAAAAATTTTTAAGTAGTCGAAAATTTTTGTTCGAGATTTCGTCTCAGTTCGATATCTAGTCGAAATATTAAAAAAAAAATAAATTTTTAGAGCAAAGAAAAATAGCAAAAAATAAGGATATGGATTTATAAAAGGTAATTTTTACAGAAAGAAAATTCACAATAAAAAATGTTGAATAAATCATTTAATTTTAGGAATAGACAAAAATTTTAAAGTTAAAAAAGAAAATAAAAATTAAAAAAATTAAAGATATATTTATAATTTATCTGGTTGACATTTTATATATTTAAAAAAAATTTTTGTATAAAATGGGAAAAAATCAGAATGCCAAAAATAGAAAAAAAATTTTTTTCCTTCTTTTTTTTAGTTCAAAAAATTAAAAAAAAAACTCTAAATACTCTACCATTAAAATAAAAAAAAGAACAAAAAAAAATTTTTTGAGAGGATAAAATGTCATCGTGTCTAATTATAAATTTTATAGTTAATTTCAGACATTTTATCTCACACGAAAATACAAAAAAAAATTTTTTTGGTAGAAAAAAGGTAGAAAAAGTAGAAAAAATGACTTAAAAAATTAAACTAGGTATATTTATTTTTTTTAAATTAAAAAAAATTTTTTTGAATCCTTTGATGAATCAGAGAGTTAAAAAAATTTGTAGATTGGACCGAGAGAGTTAATAAATTTATTTAAATAAAATTTTTGGGAGAAAATGGCTGAATAAATACAGTCAAATCTTGATATGGGAGAGAGAGCTGCCAAAGTTTTCTACCCACAAATTTTACGTATATATCTCAGTCCACATCCAGGATCTCATTGGCACAAGGACATAACCAATAAACACCAACTAAAAATTTTTTAAATCACAAGGGCCTAAGTTTAATCGAGAATATACTCTAAAAATGTGAAAGGACCTGAGGATCGATCTTGTGAGAAAATATTCCGAAAAAAAATTTCAAAATGGCGGAGACGAGGCTACGTTCCTTCGTAATCCTCAAAGGCTTAAGTACAATCGAGAATACAAATGTAACAAGATTCTAGACAAGAGTCAGACCCTCTTATTGAAAAATCCCCAATAACTGAAGACTTCTTACCCACTCAACCAAAAAACTCAAATAAATTTTTTGAACCACTATGGCCCAAATATAGTGAAAGGACCTAAGTTAGGTCTCATGAGTTTACGAGTTATTGAAACCCGAAAATATTCCAAAAAAAAATTTTTAAAATGACGGAGACGAGACTTAACTTCATAATCCTCAAAGGCCTCAGTACAATCGAGGACACGACTATATTAGGATTCTAGACAAGAGACAGACCCCCTTCTTGAAAAAGCCCCAATGACTGACGAGTTTTTAAACTAGACTAATTCCCCCCCTTCTCCTGTCTGGCACTTAATTTTTAAAATAAAATTTTTGGTTTGCAGAAAAAGACAAAATCTTTTTTTAATCTCTTTTTTATAAGAAAAGCTATTAAAGATATTATACAAGTAGAAATATGACGTAAACTACTAGACAGTAATACAATATTCCCTCCCAAAAAACGCATAGCAACTAAAAAAAAATTTTTTTTTGCAAGAACAAAAATTAAATAAAAATTATATTTTTAAAAGTAATTTATAAAGCTGTCGTCAATTTCTAAATTAAAATACAAAAAAAATACTTCCTTAATTAATAATTTAAAAATTAAAATTTTAATTACTCACGTGTTGAGGTAATTTTATATAATAGGTATTAAAACAGAATTAATTATTTAAATCAGAATTATTAATTTATAGAGAATAATTAAAGAATTAAAAATTAAATAAAATGTCAGAATATTTAATTCTGATATTTAAATATCAGAATTATTTAAAGATCAGAATTATTTAAATATCAGAATTATTTAATAATCAGAATTATTTAATAGTCAGAATTATATAAAATCAGAATTATTTAAATATCAGAATTATATAAAAATCAGAATTATCTAATAATCAGAATATTTAAATACCAGAATTATTTAAAGATCAGAATTATTTAAATATCAGAATTATCTAATAATCAGAATATTTAAATACCAGAATTATTTAATAGTCAGAATTATTTAATAGTCAGAATTATTTATAGTCGGAATTATACAAATATCAGAATATTTAATAGTCAGAATTATATAAAAACAGAATTATTCAAAAATCAGAATTATTTAATGGTCAGAATTATATAAAATCAGAATTATTTAAATATCAGAATTATATAAAAATCAGAATTATTTGATAATCAGAATCGTTTAAAAATCAGAATTATTCAAATATCAGAATTATCAAAATATCAGAATTATATTAAAATATCAGAATTATCTAAAAATCAAAATTATTTAAAAATCAGAATTACAATATGTATATAATAATCAGAATTATTAAAATATCAGAATTAAATAATTTCAGAATTAAATATCAGAATAATTAATTCTGATATTATTTAAAGCTTAAATAAACAATATCAGAATTAGTATAGGAGCAAATTTATAGGGTTTATTAGAGTCTAGGTTATTTTATAGAATTTTTAAAATATAAAAAAAAATTTTTTTTTAATTTAGCTATTATTTTTATTTAAAAAATAAAAAAATGTAGTATGTGTATTTATATTTTTATCTTTTAGCCTTTGGACTTTTTTTTTTATTTTTGGTCTAAAATTGAGCTTTGCAATATTTTTAATGCAAACGGAAAAGCCTTCTAAAAAATAAAGGAAAAGGGAGAGACAATATTTTTCTTTTATTATTGAGGGTAGGACACACTTCTACAGGTTATCGCAAAAAATTTTTGTTCAAAAAAAAAATTTTTCTGAAAAAATTTTCCAAGATAAAAATTTTTTTCTAAAAACTTAAAAATTGACACCGTATATTTTTTATAAAATGGACGAGAAAATTTAATCAACTACCTAGATATAAGAGATATTGAACTAAAACAAACAGATTTTGAGCTGCGCATAAATAAACAGATCGCGGCTATGGACAAAAATATAAAAAAAAATTTTTGAGTTGCGCGGAGCGCGATTGTGGTTTGCAGAATTGAAGTTGCGGAAAAAAAATTATTTTTTATGATTGAGGAACAATTAAAAAAAAATTTTTTTTTGAAATTTTTTCGAATTTTATATTGAATGTTACTAAAATTAAATTTTAAATTAAAAAAAAATTTTAAAAATGAATTAATAAAATAAAATATATAATTGTAGTAAAAATTATATACATATTTAAATACCCCAAGTCTTTAAGATTAAGACCAAAAAATATTTAATTTTTATATTAAATTTAATTTCCACATTTAAAAAAACGAAAATTTATATGGTCTCAATTTCCCTCTCCCTTTAATTCCTCTAATTAAATCTAAGTAGAAAAAAGGGGCGGGGCGTGTCTCTCGACATTTTAAAAAAAAGGATTTAAGTAGAAAAGAGAGAGATCATTTTCATCTCTTTTTAATGTCTAGCCGGATTTACAAAAAATTTTTTTTTGTAGAAAGTAATTAAGAAAATATTAAAAAAAAATTTTTTATAAGCTGGGGCTAAATGGAAATTTTTTAAAGAAGCACAAAAAAAAAGAGAGAAAATAAAGCTCATGGAAATAAGAGAGAGAAAGAGCACAAAGAGCAAAGACAGCAAAAAAGACATGGCGGCGGGTGGCCGTAAGTAGAAAAAAAATGGATGATGACGACAAATGTGCACAAAAAAAGTATGTATTTTAAGCAGAAGCACTCCTCCAAGTATTTTAGCATTTTTAAAAAAAGCTGGTAAGAGAGAGAGAAAAGGGTACAAAATGTTGAACGGACAAAATGGTACTGGACAAAAAGTCATAAAAATAAAATGACAAAATGTCAAGACTTAAATGTCAAAGAAGGTTGAAAGGAAGATAAAACTGAGAAGAATGGGGCCTAGACTCTAATGTCTCTGTGGACACTAGAGTCCAGGCTGGAGAAAATTGGGCAATTCAACACAAAAAACCCTAGGTAAAAATAGACATTTTGTCAAAAATTGCACTTATTGGCATTCTGTCGCATAGACATTTTGTCCAAAAATAAGCTTATCGGCATTTTGTCGAATAGGCATTTTGTCAAAAATTTCCCTTATTGGCATCTTGTCATATATGCATTATGTCGAAAATTGCTTTTATTTGCATTTTGTCGCATAGGCATTTTGTCAAAAATTTGCCTTATTGGCATTTTGTCGCAAAAGTATTTTGTTGTACAAAGAGTTAAAGGAATTTTTAATATTAGTTAGACTACATACTACAAAAATACCCTCTGCTGCTGCTGTAAAATATATGCTGCAAAAACAGCAGACAGAGAACAATAAAACAATTCTTTGAAGTATTTATATGTAGTATCTAAAAATGTCTTTTTTTCTTTTTCATAGAATTTTAAATTTTTTAATTTATAGTTTATTTATAGTCTAGACATTTGAGTCTAAATTTAATGCTCTGTTTGATTTTTTCAAAGAAAAAAGATTTTTTGGAAAAAAATTTTCGAAAAAAATTTGAAAAAAATTAAAAAGGGACTAATACAGGACCAATAACCCACTGAAAAGACAATTCACCGAAAGGACAGACAATTCACTGAAAAAACGGACAATTCACAGAAAGGACAGACAATTCACTGAAAGGACGGACAATTCACTGAAAAATACAGACAGTTCACTGAAAGGACAATTCACCGATTAGAGTTATCTAAAAAGGTTTCAAAAAGGTCAAAAAATTAGAGGGTCCATTTTTGCCCATCTCATAAAAAGGACAATTTACAAAAAACAATTCACCGAAAAAGTTTTCACCGAATGGACAATTCACCTAAAAATGAGTTCGAAAATGATCAGTGAATCAGAGGTCGGAAACAGTAAAATAAACAAGTTTAAATATTAAATAAAGGTAAAAATAAATAAATAAACAACCCCAAAAATAAGAAAAAAAGTTCCAGTCATTGACCGAATAAATAACCAAATTATTTAAAAATGTGTACACACACACAAATACTCCTTCCCCTCCCTCCATCCACCCTCTCTCAACTACTACTCCTACTATTAAATCAATTATATTTCTGCACTTGTGTTGAAGAGAAAAAAGCAAAAATTATTATTAGAAAAATTCGATTAGGAATTTTATATAAAGTAGCAAAAATAAGAAAGAATAATCAATCACCGATTTTTGAGACTCTAATGGCCTGTTGCATATTAGAGTCTTGAATGGAAGGACCAGTTGAGTCCGGGCAAGATTTTTGAATTTTTAGGAAAGAAAATCAAAAGACTGGGTCAGGGGGAGCTGCTCTCTACAGTAAAATTAGACACCTCTTTTTTAGATAGCCCCAATATTGGATACACCCCCTCTCCAATACCAGATACACACTTCATTTAAGTGACGGGTTTGGCTACTGCGTTCAGGGGAAGCTGCTTTAAGAGATACTTTTTTATTGGGGATATCCCTCATTCTCGGAGAGGGTATACCCTCGATTTGAGTTACTCCCGATAATCTCTATTGTAAATGCTCTGATATAACCTCTATTTGAGATATCCCCTTGATTTTTGGAGAGGATACACCCCAGAGAGGGGTGGGCGCATTGCGTTAAATTTTGGCCTTGCATTTTTTAGATTGTGCCTTTATTGAGACCCTTTCCACTGATAGGAGATAAAGTTTTCCGTCTATTGAAGATACCCATTCCCCTCTATTTAAGATACTCCCAATATGAACACCTCTATTAAGGATATGATTTTATTGGCTATTAGATTGAGGGTTGCCTAGGAAGATTCAAATCTCTATTTACGCGATACCCCTCTTTTTTTAATACCGTCTTTCCCCCTATACCAAGTTATGATTAGAAAAATAAAAATAATAATAATGAAGCTGATTGAAATAATAAATAAAATTTAGGAAAAATAAATACATATAAAATGAAATAATTATAAAAAAACAACTGTTTCCATATTGTCAAAAATTTTTAAAATAAAAATAAGAAAAACAAAAAGAAAACTTGCAAAAATAATAATAAAATAAATTTTTATTATTTTTAAAAATAGAAGCATTATTTTATTTTATTTTTAAAAGAAGGAAAAAAATTATTACAGTAATTATTTATTAAAATTTTCTATAAATTTAATAAGCTCTAGTGTGATGATATTTACATAAATATTTAGATTATTTATTTTTTTTAAAAGCAATTAAAGGATTTTTATTTTTTAAAATAAATGTTAAAAATGCCAAAAAATTTTTATAGTAGATAAAAAAAATTAAATACAAAATTTTGCAAATAAATTTTTTTACCAATAGAAAAGGGAAAAAAAATTTTTTTTAATTTTTCAATCAAAAAAATTCTTCAAAAAAAAGTTGAAAAAATTCAGTTGTTAGTGAAGCTGTCCAAGACTTAGTAGTAGGGTAGCTCCCCAACCCCGACTATTTTCTTAGGTAGCAAGAACCTCGAACCGAACCCTGAAGTTTCGGTACTTATTTAGTTTCCCACCCCCAGTCAGTATTTCCGAAAATTATGTAAAAATGGTCAGTCTGAACAACAATTGTAGAACCCATCGAGCTGTGTCGAATGACACCAAAATCAACGAAATCGGACAAGATTTGACAAAGATATGACATAAATCGTCGACTCCGGTAGGTCTAAATAATGTCATAACTTTGTCAAATCTTGTCCGATTTCGTTGATTTTGGTGTCATTCGACACAGCTCGATGGGTTCTACAATTGTTGTTCAGAATGACCATTTTTACATAATTTTCGGAAAAACTGACTGGGGGTGGGAAACTAAATAAGTACCGAAGTCTCCACCCCGGAAAGATTTAGACAATAACCACCGGTCTCGGGTAACAGAAAGCTGGTCAAAGGCACGAAAAATCCCGACCCCAAAAACGTCGGGAATTCCCAAGTGTCGGTGCGATCCTCGTACGTACAATACGTCCTGAAAATTATAGATGGTAGTCGGTACTGTCTGGGCTCAAGTTGAAAAAATAATTACTCAGGGTAGATATTTGAGTATATACGGTCAGGCACGTAGCCAGGGGGCAATACGATCCCCCCCCCTGAAAATTTTTTCTGACTACGGGTACGGTATTTGCACTATTTAAATCAGAGTTAATTTAAAAAAATTTTTTTTAAAGTTCCTTAATTGCTTTAGCAAAATATAAAAATTTATTAACGTCAACAAAAATTTTTTTCTAACTCTATTAATTAATCCTAACATTTACGTTAATAAAAAGAAGAAAAGGATTTTTAGATCTAGTATAAAAAAGATAAGCTTCAAGAGATTTATATATTAAATTAAAAGGGGATTTCCCACAAAACTGTTAAGCTTGGCTTAATTCTAAAAAAGAAAGGTGTGCGCAATAAAAAAAAAGAAGAAATTTATCTTCAGAATAATGTTGAAAATTAAAAATTCATTTACGATACAAAAATAGTAATAGGATACGCTACATTTTGTATCACGACACTGGAGAGTCGGAAGTATACCTATATTGATAACATGATTGAGCGGGATTCTGACTTAGCTCAAGAGGGTAGGAGGTATTAGAGATCGGAAATTTTGAAAAGCCTGGGTCTGTTCCTTGGTTCCGTTCATTGACTTTGGCCGGATCCTGGGCCTTAAGTCCAGGAAAAACTCGGGCTAAGGAAAAACCTAGGAAGGTCAAAAATGCCTGTGCCTAAACTCTGGGTACAGGAAAACCCAGGCCATGGTCCTGACCCAGGCCGATCTCTAGTAGGTATACTACTATAAGGTGAGAGAGGTTTTTGACTGTATTTTTTCCTTAAATAAAATTTTTTTAATTAAAATTTTGACGTTTTTATTTTATTGCGTGCACACATCTCTCTCTCAAAAAAATATTAAAAAAAAAAGATTTTCTTTTTCCTTAATTTTTAATTTTCTAACGATATAAAAAAATTCAAAAATCCAACACAAATTAAATATTTTAATTATAAAAAACGTTATTTTAGTAGAGTGATGGAAGAGAGATTTTGGGAGTGTAAAAAAAGTGAAGGGATTAAATAAGAGAAGAAAAAAAAAGATTAGAGAATCCTTAAAAAAATTTTTGTGCCAACTCCAGGATAAAAAATTTTTTATTAATTAAATAATGGTATTTTTAGAGGGATGTCTGAAGAATTTTAGAAAAATTAAAAAAAAGTTTTTTGACGAGGAAAAAGAGGGATTTATTTTTTAAAGTTATAGTATAATTGAGGGGAAAAGAGCGAGGAAAACTTTAAAAAATTAAAAAAAAAAGACGGAATTTAAAAAGGTGTTTCTTACCTATGGAAGGCGCAAGACGTAAAGAACTTAAGTCGCAAAAATTAAAAAAAAATTTTTTTTGGAGGGAAGAAAAAAGGAAGGAATTTTTTTAAAGTTAATGATTGAGGAGAAAAAGCGAGGAAAACTGTTAAAAAATTTTAAAAAAATTAGAAAAAAAAGATGCAATTTAAAAAAGTGTTTCTTATAGAAGGCGCAAGACGTAAAGAACTTAAGTCGCAAGAAAAAATTTAGAAAAAAATTTTTTTTTTAATTATAAAAAAATTATTAAAAAAGCAAAGAAGGATAAAGATGGAAGATTTATTTAATATAATTTAAGAATAAAGTAGATTAAAAAATAAATTTAAAAAATTAATTAAATATACTATATCACATGGTAATTTACATAAAAACTGATTAAATAAAAATGTCATATTTTAAATTAAAAAAAAATTTTTTTTTAAATCCTTCCAATTTTGGAAACAAAATCTTTGTACTTTAAATTAAAAAATATTTATTTTTTAATTAAAGACAGAGAAATTGAAGGGTCTTACAAGAGAATTGAGACTGGATTGGGAGAGCTCGAGAATCAACGTACAAGAAGCAAAATTGATGACCGAGCTTTCTAGATTTTTTTCCAAAATTTATGTCTCCGGTAGATCACTCTAAGTATACATATAATTGGTAAGATTCCGTCAAAAGTCTCGGAGACCGATTCGGACAAAATATGAGTTATTGAAAAGGGCCCGTTGAGCTTAATCAAATGACGCCAAAATTAGGCATCAGTCTCTCCCCTATTAGACGAGACATGGGCCGTTAAATATCGAAAACCATAACTCGCTCAATAGTCGAGATCTGAGCTTAATTGTGCTCAGCTCGACTAGCTCTTTCGAATAATATATGTATAGTTTATTCAAATCGGTTTCCGGGACTTTCCGTTCCAGGGCTTCTATCCCCACCATTTTATGCATAAACTCTCAAAAAAAAATTTTTTTTAATTAAAAAAAAATAAAAATTTTTGTACTTTAATGTAAAAATGCACGTAAATTAATTATTGCATACTTAAAGCAAAAAATTTGTAAAAAAATAAATATTACAAAAAGTTATGTTTACAAAATATTAAAAATTTTTATAAAAATTAAATATTAAAAAATATTTAAAAAAATAAAATTAATTTAAAAAATTATGTACGTTTATGTAAGAGACCAAAAAATAAATTTTTTTTTAATTTTTAAAAAATAATATTCATTTACAAATAAATAAATACAGACAGATTAGCAGTAGCAGAGCTTTTATTTATTAAAAATATTTATTTTGTAAGAAATAATGTAAGATTATTAAAAAAAAATTTTTTTTAAATGCGTAAATAAATAAGCAAAAATAAAATGATAAATAAAAAATATTAAATAGAAAGCAATTTTTGCAAAAATTTCAAAAATTTTTTAAAAATATGTGCGCAAGAACAAGAATAACAACTAAAACTGTTTTAAAATACCCTCAACAATTATAAAAATACCTAGTTTATATAGGCACGTTTTTTTTTAAATTTGTTTGACTCCTTAGCAAGGTTCGATGCGCATCAACAAGCTAAATCGAACCATACAAGGGCGTCCCTAATTCGATAATTTTGTATGGCTCTTTGGTACCTTGGGCTTGCGGTTCCTTGGGGGAAAGGAATTTTTTTCAGCTCCAAAGGAAAAAAAATTTTTTTGAAAGAACCGAATCAAAATTATTCTAAATCGTATAATTATTTTAAAAATTATGGGCATATGTATTTATTTAAAGAATCACGGAAACATAATTTTTGAACGTTCAAAAAAATTATTTTTTAATAAATTAATTGTTATGTGTAAATAAATAAATTTAAAAATAGGTAAAAATAAAAGAAAGGAGAAAAAAAAGAAAAATAAAAAAAATAATTAAAAAATAATTAAATAAAAGAGAAAAAAAAAATAATAAGGAAATAAAAAATTTATTTTTGCAATTTTAGTTAGCAGAAAAAAAATTAATTGAATAAAAATAAAAAAAGCACAAAATAATAACAATATAAAAATAAATTTTTGGTCTTTAAAGTTTTATATTATTTTTAAAAATTATTTTTTATATAAGCAATTTTTAATGGACGTAAAATTTTTGTTAAAAATTTTTGCAAAAAATAAAAGAAAAGAGAATATTTGTTACAAAAATTGACAAAAAATATTTTTTATTAATAGCCGGACGGTACTTTATTAATATCCCACCCCCCACTCCTATTTGAGTCTCAGATTAATTTTCCTTTTTTGCAGTCAACATCCTTTTCCTTACAAATTTTTAATAAATGACAAGTTAGAATGCCTCATTTTTAATTTTTCTCCTTCTAACTTGCCTTTTGCTTAAAATTTATGAGGGAAAGGATGATTGACAGTGAAAAAGGAAAATTAATCTGAGACTCAAATAGGTGGATATTAATAAAGTACCAGCCGGACCTCATTTCTAACTACATCCAATAGTGGGGAACGCGTTTTAAAAGTTTAAATGACCATTGGGCCTAAGTAAGAATGTCGGTTTCACCAAATTCTTTGGTTAACCGAAACCGACCGAACCGAAAATTTTCGGTTTTCACTGTCTAAATCAATTTTTAAACATCCAAGGAACTCCTAATATTAAACCTTTAAGGAATTTGTTTTAAAACTAAGGATGGGCATTGAGCGGGGTCTATGCAATATCCCCAATTCAAGATACAAAACTCATTATAGGGCAAGATTTTTATGTCTCCAAGGATGTGTACCCAGAAATGAGATCCGACTATAATTTAAAAAAAAATACCCCCACCTCAACGATCCACGCATTTCAAACAAGTAAAAATTTTTTGAACACAAAATAAGAACATATTCTTCGTCCTTTTTAAATTAAACATATTCTCCAACTAAATAAATAATAAATTTAGAAATTAAAAAAAAATTTTTTTAAATAAAATAAAAACATTTTTTTAAGTTTTTGGCTTTTGGAAAATTTTTTATTTTTATTTTTTATAAAATAGTAAAATAATATTAAAAAAAATTTTCAACAAAAAAATTAAACAAATTGAAAAAAAAATAATATTTTTGGTTCTAAATAGTCTAGATTAGAAGTCCAATGAACCATTATGGGTAATATTGAAGAGTACAGCCCCCATTTTTTCCTCACTATTTTCCCCCCTATATTTTTACAAAACGGTCAGACTTTCTCCTTCCTTCCATCCAACTTCCCTTTCTATTGATATTTTATTCCCCGTTTTAATAGAGAAAATGAGTTTTCTCAAAACTCATACTTGTTAAATACCAAAAAATAATCCTTTTTGTTTGACTTAGGCAAAAATTAGAAAGGAAATTGGACGGAAGGAAGGAAAAAGTCTGACCATTTTGTAAAAATATAGGGGGGAAAATAGGGAGGAAAAATTGGGGTCTGTACTCTTCAATATTACCCCATTATGCTCCAAAATTAGTCCAAATAAAAAATTATAAGCCGATTGTGTTTGCGAATTTTAAAATTAATTTGACTCATTATTGGACTCATAAAAACTAGGCTAGAGCTAAAAAAAAATTATTTTTCAAAAATTTTATTCAATTTCTCCTTCCATATTTTCTCTCTTTTCTTTTAAACGACGTTCAAAAGCTTTACGTTGTGAAGGTTTTATTCTTTAAAAAATTTCTTTATTAAAAAATTTTTTTGAACTAATTTTTCTTACTTTTCATAAGGTTCTTGTTTATCTTCCAATCTACGTTGTTGTTCACAAAGTTCACGAAAAATTAACCATTCCTCTAAAAATTAAAAAAAATTTTTTTAGGTAAAAATTAAGTTTGTGTCCCGCCCTTTTTTCGAATTATTTTTCAAGAGTAAAAAAAAAAGTTCATAATGGTCAGAAGGTTCATAATGGATCGAAAAATGCTGAAATCGAAAACATAGCCCAATTCAAAACAAAATCTTCAAATTCGGAGGTAAAAAATTAGTTTGTATCCCCTCACCTTTCAAAAATTTTCCTAAGATTAAAAAAGGTCTATAATGGTCAAAAGGATCATAACGGTCAGATTAAAGTAAAATCGAAAAAATGCTAAAATCGAATTCGAAGCAAACACCCCTCGAAAATTATCCAATTTTACACAAAAATGTCAGTCAACGTTCGAATTCGAAGATTCAAAATTATTCTGTCAAATATTCGATTTATCCAATCTTTGAGTCCTTTCAGATTAAACAGATGCCAACCAGAGGTGGGTCGGAATTCAGATCTCCAACGCATTTTTCCTTGCGATTTCCGAAAAAAAATTTGATTTCCGATTTCCGACTTTTGAGACATTTCCGATCTCCGACAGTTCCGATTTCCGACCCACCTCTGTTGCCAACGCAAATTTTAAATTTTAAAAATTTTTACCATATTCAACACCAGCAACCAAACTGGCAAATTTATTTTCTGGCGTATCAAAAATTAATTCGGGTGATGGATTTTCCTTTTTTAATTGTGGCCTTTTTGGATCAGGATAAAAATATTTTCCAGTTTTTAAAAGTAATAAATGTCTATCAATTATTGAAAATAAATCCAAATCCATCCAACATTTACTTTTTGCTAATTCTTCACTGACAAAACCCATATGGAAATAAATGTACTTTAAATTATAAAAAAAATTAATTTTGTAAAAAATTAATTTTTCCTGAAAAAATTAAAAAAATCATTTAAAATTTTTTACGAAAATTTTTTTTATTTTTTCCAAAAAAAAAAATTAAAAATTTTTTCAAGAAAAAATTTTTTTCCCAAAAAATTTTCAAAAAAAATTTTTTCTAAAAAAATATTCACCTCATATTTACTTTCCAATTCTGTTGGATCTAACAAACAAATATGTGGAGTATTATTTACAATTGTTTTCAACTTGAAAAAATATTTTTAAAAATTATTAAATTTAAAATTAGATTAAAAAAAATAATTAATTATTTTTGGTGTTAATCAGCCTAGACCCCACCCCATATTTTTCATTTTCTCCCCCACCTAATTAAAATTCTGATACTTAATGTTCTGAAAGGCATTTTAAAATTCTGGTTTTTAATTATGAGATATTCTGGTCTTTAATTCTGCTTTTTTAATTCTGATTTATTCTAATTTTAAAATTATAGTCTAAAATTTCTGATATCGAATTCTGATATTAAAATTCTGAATTTAATTTCTGCTTTTAAAATTCTGGTTGAAATTCTGATATTAAAATTCTGATTTTTTAATTTAATATAAAATTCATAGAAGAATTAAATTTTAAAAATTTTTTAGAATTTTTAAAAATTTTTTAGAATTTTTTAAAAATTCTACTACTCACATCCCCAGATTCAAAAAAATTGCTAATCTGCTCCAAACAAATATCCATTTTCTGCACTTCAGAACCAAATAATAATTCTGGGCATTTTTCGAATATTCTTCTTAAACCAATTCCTGAAGCTAGTCCACGTCCACTAAATAAATTAATTCGGCTTTGGATTGATTGGGGAGTTTCGTTTTCAAGTAAGTCACACCACCTTAAAATTAATAATATTTATTTGTGATATTTTTAAATTCTAGTCTTAAAATTCTGATTTAAAAATTAGGACCATTAAATTCTGGTTTCAAAATTCTGACATTAAATTCTAATTATCAGTTCTGATTTTAAATTCTGGTTTTAAAATTCTGAAAATAAAATTCTGATTTTAAATTCTGATTTTAAATTCTGATTTCAAAATTTCGATCGTAAATTCTGCTTTTAAAATTCTGATATCCTAAATTCTAATTTTCATTTCTAGTTTTAAAATTCTAGTTTTCAAATTCTGATATCAAAATTGAGATTTTCATCTCTTTCTAAATTCTGATTTTCATCTCTGGTTTTAAAATTCTAGTTGAAATTCTGATTTAAAAATTAAAGCTTCAAAATTCTGATATTCTAAATTCTGATTATTAGTAGCTATTTTTGGCAAAAAATTATATTTAAAAAATCCTCCCTTACTTTGCAAACATTCTAATAGAATCCTCATAATTCATTATAAAATTCTCAACAAAAATTGTAAGCATTTTATAAATAGATTGACCATTTTTAATCATTAAACGAAAAAGTTTTTCCTCGTGTAAACAAGCATCTTCTAAAAATTCTGGTTGAATACCTTCAAAAAATAATCTTATTTTAAATTTGTTTAAGAAAAAAACAACCAAGATTTAATAATTCTTTGAAAGGATAGAGTGCTGAATTAATTGCCTAGAAAAATTTTATTTTGAATTAAAAAGTAGAAACTTGAAAGTAAATCAGAATTAAAATCAGAATTTAGAAATTAAAAATCAAACAATCAAAATTAAAAATCAGAATTTTATATCAGAATTTCAAAATCCGAATTTTAAAATCAGAACTTGAATATCAGAATTTCAAAATCAGAATTAAAAATCAGAATTAAAAATCAGAATTTAATATCAGAATTACAAAATCAGAATAAAAATCAGAATTTTATATCAGAATTACAAAATCAGAATGATCAAAATTAAAAATCAGAATTATTACCAGAATCTTAAAATCTGAATTAATATCAGAATTTAATACCATTATTTGAAAATCAGAATAAATAAAAAACTCACATGTTGATCCACCCAAGGCAGTGTAAATATTTTTCCTTTAGTTTCATATTCTTCAACAATTGATTTAACTAATTCTGTAGCTGTTTCATTTAACATATCAGAATTTTTGATTGAAGTACTAGGTGTTGTTAAATATCTAGCTGCTTGATTTTTATAATTATTTAAATACTTATAATTAATTAAAAATTTTCTCATTGCCATTATGAGCTCTAAGAAAATTAATTTTATTAAAAAAAAATAAAATTAAAAAAATATTTTTCTTCGTTGATTAAACAAAAAATTCCAAACAATTAAAAAAATAAATTTTTAATGAGATTTTTATGCCAAAAAAATTAGAGATCGGCCTGGGTCTGGACCAAGACCTGGGGATTTTGCTGTACCCAGAGTCCAGGCCCATACATTTTTTGACCTTCCAGGGGTTTTATTGGTTCAGGGGTTTTCCTAGACTACAGGCCCAGGACCCGGCCAATAAATCAAAAACCGAAACTAATTAACAGGCCCAGACTTTTCAAAAATATCGATCTCTAGTATAAATGAATTCAAAATGATAAGAGAGATCATTTTTTAGTAAGCTTAAAATATTTCCAAAATTAAAGTAAATATATAAAGCTGTCAATACATGTAGTATGTATGGGTTTTTAAATGCCACAAAAATTTAAAAAAATTTCTGAGATTCCTTTCAAAAAAATTAGTTTTATGGAATTCGTAATTGATAATCTCCATTTGTTGTAATATAACGAACCCATGGAAGTGCTTGATATCCACTCTTTTCAATAATTTTTAGATAGCGAACCTTTAAAATATAATTTGAGTTGAAAAACGAAAATTTTTGGTTCGTAAAAATTTTTGCGGACGAAATTTTTTAGTCCGCAAAAATTTTGCGGACTACATTTTTCGTCCTCAAATTTTTTGCGAATTTTTGGAAAATAAGAGATACCAGTTAAAAATTTATTTTTCAAAGTCCGCAAAATTTTTTTTGCGGACAAAATCTTTGTCCGCAAAAAATTTGCGGACGAAATTTTTAGTCCGCAAAAAATTGCGGACTAAATTTTCTCAAATTTACCCCCCGAATTTCAGAAAATAACCCCCACAACTTAAAATTATTTAAAAATTCAACAAAAACAAACCTGAATTCCAGACGTCGTAAAATACGGAATTTCAAATCTAATTTTGACTGGCGGCTTTCTTTCAGCCTCTTCACTAACAACACTTGGCAATTTAAATTGTGCTCTCATTAAATATTCTTTACCGCCCGGGAAACTTTTAATATTCCAAATAAAAGCAGTTTCTTCTGGGACATAACGACAATGCCCTATTGCTGCTTTAAATCGAGGAGTGTCTGCATCACGCGGTGCTGGTATAATAATTTCTACATTATTGGCTGTTGAACGACGTTTAAATTGGGATTTTGCCTTTTTAAAAATAAAAAAAAATTTTTTAATAATTTTTAAGAATTTTGCAGACAACATTTGCAGACTTTTTATATTGAAAAAAGTCGCAAAAATTGTCCGCAAATTTTCTCGTAAAAATTTGCGGACTTTTTTATATTGAAAAAAAATCCGCAAATGTTGTCCGCAAAAAATTTCTTTTTGAATAATTTTCCCCAGAATAGGGTAAAATATATACCTTAATCATATATTCAATACGTGAATGTGAAAAGCGTTCAATTACCTTAAAAAATAAATAAACAACAGAATTTTTAATAGCTTTTTAATAAACTCACAGTTTCAATCCAAATCAAAGGTTTAACAACTGTACTCAACCTATAACTCATCAACTCAAATTCTCCATCTGGTGGAACGAAGCTAATTGTACGATCATTTTCTTTTGAGAAAAAAATTTTTTAACATATTTTCAATAAAAATGCTGTCCACAACCAATTTTGAACTCACTCAAAATCAGTCAGTTCTTTGTGATTTTTCATCAATATTCATGGAAAAATTTTAAAACACATAGGAAGGTAGATTAAAAAAGTAGTATGACATTCTTTTTCCAATTCCCCCACCCCCTCCCCTGCCTTAAAAATAAATATGGGCCTAAGCATAAACTTGCGGACAAAATTCGACATTTGCGGACAAAATCAAAACTTGCGGACAAAATCTAAACTTGCAAACATATTAGAAAATTGCCCAGCCACAAAAGCATAGGTCAAAAAATCGACCTACTTATAACACATCGGATTAATAATCGGTCGTGGACAACTTTTTAGTAAAATTAAAAAAAAACCAAATCTCGACAGACGAACACATTGATGAAATTTAATATCTTCTAATTCAACTGTTTTGCTTCTACCTCCTTTAAAAAAATTTTAAAATAAAAAAAAATAAAATTTTAAAAAGCAAACTTCCAGTATTCTCAAATTGAACTTTATCATTTAATCCTAAACGAAGTTCAGGCATTCCAGTTAGAAACACACGCATTTTAACTGAACCAATTATTTCACTTTGTAAAACAACACCATTTGCATTTGCCTAAAAATTAGCTTATTTTTTAAAATTGAGATTTAAAATCTGCGGATTGACACTTGCGGACAAAACTGTAATCTTATTAGGAGAGCTTTTTTGAAAACAAAAAAAAAATCAAAAATCGGAGATAAAAAAAGGTCCAAAAATACTAAAACCGAAAATATTTTTCTAAATTTCGAAACCAAAATTTCGAGACGAATTTTCGAAAATAAATTTTAAAAAATCAAATTCTCGGAAAAATTTTTTGCAAACTGACACTTGCGGACAAAACAAGTTTATTGAAACAGAGATAAAGAGCACAGAATCACAGGGCCAAATAATTTCTGGTAGAAAAATTTTTTCTTTGATTGTCCGCAAATTTCCCCCTATCAATGATATCCTTTAAACTCTAAATAATTTTTAAAAAAAACACAAACCAGCAAATTTAAAGATTCAATAACATCCAAAAATACTTCATTTTTCCTGTGTTTAATACCCTCAGAACGCCACGAAACCGCATTAGTAACAGCCATGGGAGGGCGTATTTGGCTCTTTTCCAATTTATATCCTTCTTGAGTTATATACCTTAAATTTAGGAAATTAAACAGAAAAATGATATAAGGTAACTCTCTCAAAATTCTCCCTTCAGTAACTTGAGGATAACCAAAATCCATCATTTCATCTAGCAATTCATAAATAATAACAAAATTGTCCTTAACAGATTCTTCCTCGACATCTTTAAAATATTCAGAAAAAACTCCAACAAGTTTGTAAAGAAATGTTTGCATTAAAGCTACCTATAAAAAATTTTTTTAATTTTAAAAAATTTAATAGTGTTAATGTTGTCGGATCTAAATCCAAAATAACCAGATATCCGAAATTTTCGGTTAGGATACCGGATCCAGATATCCGAAGATTTCCAACTATCCGACAACCTTGGTGTTAAGGTTAAATTTGTATTTATAAAAAATCAAAGAAATGAGGAATATTTTAGAAAAAATATCGACAAAAGGGTTACCAACTCTCCTAAAAAATTCAAACTTTTTAATTAAAAAATTTGTAAAATGTCAGAAAATTGACGTTGAATTTTCCTAATATTTTGAAAATAAAAAAAAATTTCGAAAATTTTTTTCCCCGAAATTTCTTGGAAAATTAGTTGAATTTTACTTGAAATTTCATTTTGGAATTTCTAAAGAAATCAGATAAACGTTCAAAAATAAAAAAAAAATTCTAAACAATTTTGGAACTCAAAAATCAATCTCTATAAGCGCTCCAAATATCCCTCATACACACAAAAATCTCCAAATAAAAAAAACTCAAAAACCTACATTAACATTATGGTCAGAAACGGCAACAACTTAATTTATTAATTATTTAAAACAAATTTTATTTAAAAATACCATAAACATTATTATATTTAATAAACACAAAAATAGCATCAGCTACATCCACAATAGGAGTCAATTTTCCTTCCTCTTCCATATCCACAAGAAAAGGAATAAATTTTTCAATAATTGTCAAGTCAACATCTCCACGATAATTTCGAGAAATTAATACCTTTTTTTAAATAAATAAAAAACATTTTTTAAAGTAACCTTATTTAATATAAAACTATTTTTGCTCTCCCCTCCCCTAGATTATTCTACCAATTTTTTTCTTAATTCTTTCCATATTAAACCTCCTAGCCTGATCCTAAGACCAAGCATATTTTCAACACAATACCGAAATAAAAAATCCTACAATCCTAGAAACCATTCGGGATGACCCTCTATTTGTAAGGACTTGTAAGAAAATCAAACTTAAATAACCGAGATAGTTGTTAATAGAGTTCGTTTAGGTCCGATCTCTAATAAAAATGCATACTTGAAAATTCAAAATAACCAAAAACAAAACAAGAAAATTAACTTAGGTATGTTTTGTAGAAGTTATTCTCGAGTAAGCCAAATTAAAATTTTAAAGTCAACTTTATATACAAAAACAAAAAGAATTAAAAAATAGTGCGAACAATTCGGGCAAAAAAATTTTTTTAAAGAAAATCCCAGTGTGGAAAAAATTCCAGAGTGGAATTTTCTTTAACTTGAAAGTGCCCAAAAATCCTTTAAAATTCATTCATTTCACTTTTATACTTTCTTCTCTTTTCCTCTTCCAATTCATTACGCAAACGTAAATTTTCCCTTTCCAATTCCATCACTTTTTGTTGCAATAATTGTTCTCGTTCACGACGTTTTGTTCGAGAATGTTTTGCTGCTTCATTATTTTTTGAACGTCGTTCCCAATATTTAAGTCTTTCCAATTCTGTTCGAAATTCTTTTGCTGTAGATGAAGGACATTTTAGGCTATTATTTTCAGTTTTTATATGATGATTTGAATGTTCTAATCCTTTTTCTAAATTTATATCTTCAACCAAATTATTATTTGTTAAACAAGAAAAAGGTTGACGTGTTGTTCTTATTTGTCCTATATTATTGTTGTTGTTAGTCTTTGCAAAATTAGAAAAAGATTCTGGACTTGAATTTTCATTTAATGTGTTATTGGTGTTATAATTTGAAAATGCTGTCCAACAATTGGGATAAGTTGATAAATGTTGTTGGGACAAGTTGGAGGGACCTATTAAATATTTACTAGATACTTCTGGGCAAGGGAAAAAATGTTTTTAATTGAAAAAAACAGAAACGGGCTTATCTTAAAATGACTGAGAAAAAATCATTATTAACGTGGAAACATCTCCAATCTAAAGAACGGATCAGGGATGGGCGGCCTTCTACTTCCCACAGAAAACCACGTTTTCAGGGATGGGCGGTCTTCTACTTTATTAAGAAATCCGTGTTTTAAAATGCGTCAAGGCCCATATATGGTACGGATTTTAGTCCAAAGATTATCCTTTAAAATTCAAAAAAAATTTTTTTGAAGCACCTTCAATATTATTAAAACTAGAAGCTTCTGAAGCATTACTAGAAGAATGTTGTTCCCAAATATTTGAAGAATTTATTGGTGAAGACAAAAATGTTGGATCACTATTACTATTTTCTGCAACAGGACAAAAACCTAAAGCATTCGAATAAGCTAAAATTCCTTGAGATATAGCTGTAGCTGATGTATTGTTGTTATTAAAAAAGGTATTAGCAAGAGGTATATTATTAGATTGTTGTTGTTGTTGAAACAATTGATTTGAAATATTCAACGCGTTAATGTTGAAATCCATTTGTTTTTGATCAATTAATTTTAAGATAAAAATAGGAGTATCACAAACTAGATAATTCTTAATTAATATAAGAATAAATAAAAAAATGAGACTGGAACGCTGATAAATGGGAATGGGAATAGGTATGTGGGAAAAAGATAAAAATATGTTTATCAACAGAGGGCAGATTTATATAAATAGATAAATTACTGAAACGATCTTGCCCGCGAACTGACTAATCTTCTTCCATTTTTATCACAGCTAAATATTAACAGGTATTTCTGCCCTTCTATTCTGGTCCTGGATTGCTTTAGTACCTCATTTCAATATAAATCCGCCTTCTGTTTATCAACTATCGAGGACACTAATTTATAAAAAAATAATTTAAAAAATAATTAAAAGATCTCCTGAATTTTAGGCAAAGCCTTAGATTGCATGAAAGCAAAATTGATTGCATCATAAGAAAAATAAACGGAAAAAAGCAAAACGGAAATAAGAGAGAGGTCGCTAGCGGGCCACAAACTCCCTAAAAAACAAACAATATGAAAATGGTGCAACAGAAGGTAAAAAAACCACAAAATCATCATTATTGTGACTAATGGCATTTGGCGTCGCCCACCCACCTTGTGTGTGCCAACAGAAAAAATTGTACAACGAAAAAAAACAGGCGACGCCAATGTGCAAGTAAAGGAATGAACAAAAAACACAAAAATAAAAGGCTATTATTTTTCTTATTTTGTTTTTATTATTTTTATTTTCAAGTAGCTGATATAACCATGTGTTTTGGCTATATCGATTTACCCCAAGTTTTAATAAGTTTAATTAAAAATAAGGTTACTTTAAAAATTAAACTCAAGTTTAACGCAAAGTTTTAAGGAAAATGTAAGTTTATTAAAAAAGTAAGCTTAAGTCTATAATAAACCTAAGTTTACTTAAAAACCAACTTTACATCTACAAAAAAACAAACTTAAGTTTTACATAAAAGAGAACTTAAGTATAATTAAAAACAAACTTAAGCTGAACACTCAAGTTTTCACTTAAGTTTTATTAAGAAAACAAACTTAAGTTTACCAACTTTTATTAAAAACTTTAAAACAAACTTAAGCTGAACACTCAAGTTTTAAAAACTTAAGCTTATTTAGATTAAACCTAAGTTCTTTACTTAAGTTTTCACTTAAGTTTTATTAAAAAACAAACTTAAGTTACCAACTTTTATTAAAAAGATTTTCATAGACTTTTTTTTAATAAACTTATATTCTTAAAAACTTAAGTAAACTTAAGTTTTATAAAACAAACTTAAGTTTAATAAAAACCAAACTTAAGTTTACCACCTTTTATTAAAAACATTTTCATAGACTTAAGTTTTTAATAAGACTTAAGTTTTATTAAAAACCAAACTTAAGTTTACCAACTTTTATTAAAAACATTTTCATAGACTTAAGTTTTTAATAAGGCTTAAGTTTTATTAAAAACCAAACTTAAGTTTACCAACTTTTATTAAAAACATTTTCATAGGCTTAAGTTTTTAATAAGGCTTAAGTTTTATTAAAAACCAAACTTAAGTTTACCAACTTTTATTAAAAAGATTTTCATAGACTTAAGTTTTCACTTAAGTTTTATTAAAAACCCAAACTTAAGTTTACCAACTTTTATTAAAAACATTTTCATAGACTTAAGTTCCAACAAACTTATTTTCTTAAAAACTTAAGTTTCCTTTTCTTAAATTAAAAAATCACCACCAACCTTTCCCTTCATATCCAAAAAGAAAATTGCTGAACAAGCCATTTCTTTTCCTCTTATTATTTTTTTCAGTCAAATGTTGTTAAAGTCAAAAATATATTGTTGTTTTCCTTGTAATTTTATTTTTGAAAATTGTTGTTTAATTTTAATTATTTTCGTTGTTTGTAAATTAGAATATTCTGAACAATTAGAAGAAATTGAAGAAGCAACAAATAATTTGACAAATGTAGGTCTTTTGAGATCTTAAAAATTTTTTAATTACATAATATTAAAAACTAAGGAGTTCAGGAAGCCGAAATACCAACCCCCAAAATCTGCCAAAATATCAAACTGCGGAAAAATACAAACACCTATATACGAGGGGTGTCACGGACTTTTCTGACTTTTGATGGTTACTTTAGAAAAAAAAACTTTCACAACTTTTCGGACTTCCCTCGACTAAAAATTTCCCAAAACTCGACCCGCCTCCTCTTAATTCTCCTGGCCCGGACCTTTTCTCGACCCGATCCCAAACGTTCATCTACTAGAAAAATAAAAATCCTAGACCTAAAAATTAACCTTTCAAAAATTTCCCTAAATTACAGATTTCTCAACCAAACAGTAATGATACAAACATTAATTTAATAGATGAACTTTACAAATTAATAATTCAAAAACCTTTATGCGAATCCTCTTCCACAGGTAATGATGAACACAACAATTGAGGCGGCTAGTTCAAAGCTCCTTGAACAAATCACAAAGCTAATCCTGTCCTGTTTTAAAAAAATTTAATTAAAATTAATGAATGATAAAACAAATTTAAAAAATATTTTCAAAATTAAATAAAAAATATTTTTTTGAAAAAAAAATAAAAGAAAATCATTTTATTTAATACTTTTTTAAAAATAAAATCTATAACAACAATAACAAAAAAAATAAATTAAAATTAGAGACCGGACTGAGAGTGTCGTACACGAGAATCAAGATCTCATCTCGGTCCCGGCAAATCTCAATAATCGAGATTATCTCGACAAATCTAGTTAAATCACGATAATTCAAAAAAAAAATTTCATACGAGAAACGAGATCTCAAAAAATTCTCAATCTCTATAACCTAGATTTTCTATCAAGACTCGATCCGGTTTCTAATTAAAATAACACAAATTCAAATAAACCTAAAATATTTTATTCATCTTCATTGCTGCTGTAATCACCACTTGTATCATCATCATTATCATCATTAGTAGCCGGTTTATTTGAATTTATTTTTCCATTCATCTTGGATTGCTTCAATTCTTTTGATTTTTCTTCCTTCTCCTTCTCCTCTTCTTTCTTCTTTTCCTTCTCCTCTTCTTTTTTCTCCTTCTCCTCTTCCTTCTCCTCCTCATCATCTTCCTCACCTTCCTCTTCTTCATTTTCCTTCATTTCTACATTTTTATTTTCTTCTTTAACCTTCAATTTTTCTTCTTTTTTGACTGTTAAATTATTTTTATTTCCATTTTTCATCATTTCAAAAAGGCCTCCATTTCGTAAAAGTTTTTTCTGAGCTTCAATCTCTTTATCTAATATTTTTTGAAGAAGGCGAACAGCATTGCGAACATCTCTATGTAAAGGTTTCTGGACATAAATCTCTTAAAAATAAAAACGAAATTAGAAGAAAGTCTTTTGGTTCAAGTGGTGGAGCTAAAAACTATGGAAAAAATTCAGGAGAAGCTTCATATATTTATGTGAATTCTATGAGGTCCCTACCAATCAGTTATTTATTTTTGAGTACTTAATTTTAGAATAAATTCTAATTTAATTTTGGAGTTATTTTTTTCGACAGATATTAGACTTAATTTTCGGGTCTAGAATTGAAATTGACACACTCTAGTATTTTATGCATATCCATGTCAGGGATGGGTCGGGTTACCCAAAACACGGCTTAAAAAGACCCGAAACCCTTCCAAGGAAAATTTTTGAAAACCAAATCCGAAACCGACAAGACTTTTTTCTCAACACGACCCATCCACGATCCATGCAGTAAAACCCCACCAAGATTCCCTAAATCCGCTTCCTCCTTCAAGATTCACTAAAACCCCCAAAGATTCACTAAAACCTCCTTGTAAGATTCCCTTTCAAGAAAAAAATTAAAAAAAAAAAACAAAACCTAATGTAACAACTATCACATCATATAAAATATCAAAAAATTGCTTGTTTCCAATATTATTTGTCAAAAATTGAAAAAGATTGACAAGTTGAAATCTTTCAAGATCAGAAAGTGCAAGTTTAAGTTGTTGTCGAATACGAATTTGATGGAACACGGCCACAATATATTCAAATGAATAATTTTTTATTTTTAAAAGTATAGTTGAAACAAGTTCTTGAACACGGCCTTCACGTAATAAATAATCATGATCACCAAGTTTCATCTGTGGAAAATAAAATTAATAGAATCAGAAAAAAAAACTGAGAAATAATAAGTCACAAGCCTAGGGTTTTTAATAACTCTAAAATGTGACCTGGTCCCGTTCAAAAATATTGGGGGGAATTTTGAGCATCTGAAACTCCATAAAAATGGCCTGGGTTTTCAATATTTATTTGAGCCGGTAAAAATTTTGGGATATAGGTATTTTGCCATACTCATTTACCCAGAAATCCGACCCGAGAAACCTCTTTCCTTCCTAGAATAATTAATCCTTTAAGTAGGTCTTTCAAGTTGTGCCAACTTTTTCTTCTACTCATTTAGTACCAGATCTAGCTAGCCCAAATTTTTAAAATCCCTCTATCCACTCCTGTTGCGCCCTCCCAAAAAATTTCTAAAATCTAGATAAAAAACAGATTAAAAAACCTGTTCTAATTGTCTTTCTGTTAATTTTAATTCAACTTTTTCTTGTTCACCATCTCTTTCTTTTCTAAAAATAATTAATCCTTTAGGCCTTTCTTCTGGTTCTTCTTCTTCTTCAATATTTTCAGGTATATCAACATCATTATTAGTAGTAATTGTTTCTTGTAAAACTTCTTTTGATTCATTCCGTTTCCTTTTACGTTTTCCAGATTTTGACTTTTTAATTGCTTCAACTTTTTCTTCTTCCTTTCGCCTCCAAATAGCCAAATTATTATTTCCTAACCCAAAAGCAAGATGATTATCTGAATGGTCAATAGCCAAGGATTGTATGGGTGCATCCAAATGCCAAGTATGAATCAAATCAAAATTGTCCAATTTAACAATATTAACTCGCCGATCAACTGAACCACTAATTAAAAAGGTCTCATCTTTTGATAAATTGAGGGAAGTTATCTAAAAATTAATTTTTTAAAAATGATAGTAAAAAACGAAATCAATAGTCTTGTTAGGGACTGGACTAATTTTTGAAGGCAGAAAAACACTAGGATGTCCGAATGCAAAGATGTGGGCTCCTGCTCACAGACTGACTCACACGGAGCTCCCAGAAACTTCATGTGAAAATCTCCCCACTGGTCTTGACCACTCACAGAGCCAGCCCAACCCTTAATCGTTTTTCACCAAAATGTAAATGCTCTCCAATAGGGAAAGCAGCCGGGACAAGAAAAGTTCACCCAACTCAGATTACTCCCAAAAAAATTTTCTCGACTTAAATAAAAACTGAAAACTCAAACCGTCTTCTTATGAAGTTGCAATTCCTTGACAATCTGGCCATTATTTAAATCCCAAAATTTTATTAAATTTCCACCAGCTGAAGCAAGTAAATTATTTTGTGAAGACACAAACAAAATTTTTTCGACAGGTAAACCATGATTAAATTCACGTACAAAACTGCTTCCATCTTGCCTAGTATCCCATAAATGAATTGTGTTGTCATAAGATCCTATTTTAATTTTATTAAAAAAATTATTTTTCGCTAAAATAAAAAAAACCTGTCGCCAATAAAAATTCATTGTTGGGAACAAAAGCACCCGTTCTAATAAAATCCATATGTGCCCCACAATTCCAAATTGGAGAAGCATTTTCGGTTGCCAAATCAAACAATTTTGTGTAACAATCATCAGAAAATGAGGCTACTTTATGCCCACTAGCATCAAATTGAAATGAATAAATTTGACTTTTGTGCGCTTTAATTGTTCGAATTGGAGTACGTAGACCTTGTTTACGAGGCTTTTCGCTATGAGTATCAAAAAATTGTAGAAAACCATTTTCTGTGGATACACCTTTAAAATGTGATTTTTAAAGATTAAATAATCGAAAAAAAGCTATTCTGACATGGGACAAGCGAGTTAATGACATTGAACCAGTGATCTCCCAAAACAAAATTAGTTAAAGAAACGCTACCCTAAAGTGTTGAAGTTTAAAACCAGTCATTACCAATGATTCAACATGACCCACCGCAAAATTCCTTCCCGACTAGAGGTGAACGCTTCCCAACGAGATGCTTCCCAACATATAGGAAAGGTTTTAAACTAGTAGAGTTTCCAAAATTTCAGTTAATAACCCCAAGAAAATCGCTCAGTTTCGGTCAATGTCATTCAGAAAAAAATTGAAATAAAAAAAATCCAAACCTAACAAAGCGCCATCATGCCTATATTTAATCGAACATATTGAAGTTTTAAAACGAGAATAAATCGCAGACTGCTCTGTTGTGGCTGTATCGAATACAATAACCTGTAATTTAAGTAATAAGATCGGAATAAAATTAAAAAAATTACTCTGCTTCCTCCGGCTACAGCCAATGAATAAGGAGTGGAAGGTTTGAAATCGCAACTGCAACATGATTCTTCAAAAACAGCTGCTTCCTAAATAGAAAAATGTAGTTAAGAGAATTTCTCCGCATAGAAAGACACCTCATAAGATTAGAAAATAGGTCAAATCCTGGCCTAAAGTTAGGGCTATTTTATGCATGATCTAGAACCATCAAGTTACCAGGACCAAAAAATGTAAATAAAAATAAAGGCCATGAAGGATTTCAGTCCAAATATCAAGATAATGTGCACCCCTCACACGGCCACCGGAAACATAACCTAATTCCACAGCTTCTATTCCCTAAAAAAACCTCTAGTTTCATCCAGTATTTTTGTTCATCACTAAAACCATCCTCAGCATTCGCATCTCGTAAGGGTTGAATAGGCTTGAAATGAGTAGTCATTTTCTTTTAAAAATAAAAAAAAATAAATTAAGAGAAAAAAAATTATTAAATATTATTTGAGTAAAATAACAAATTGTTAACAAAATTAAAATAAATTAAAAAAAAATTTTAAACAAAATCAAAAACAAAACAATATATTAAAAATCAAAAATAAACAAAAATATTTTTTGGTCATTCAATCATTATCTTCATCCGATTCAGCAAACCTTTTTCTCTTTGCAATACCAGAATTACCTAACCTCCTAAGCATTTTTGATGCCAAATGTGTTTTTGTTATCGCTTTTTTAGAGGAAATACGAGCAAGAATTTCTTCCTTAATAATTTAAAAAATTAAAAAATGGGCATTCTAAATAAAAATGTATGCTAATGTTAAGTCCAGACCCTAACGCTCCAAAAGCCGAAAACTTTGAAGCCCTAGAACTTTTTGATTTGAGGGCCGAGAATTGGCAATAGGTTATCGACCATGCTCTACACGATAGTGGCAAAAATAATTACGAAATTTTTGGTGACAGTTCAATAGGTTCCCTTTAAGTTCAGAACCAGTTGATGGAAAAAAATTGAAATTAACCAAGAATTAAAAGAGAAAGAGGTGGGTTTGGTATTTCGGCGGCTTATCCAAAGTTTGGCATTTAGGCAATTTTAGGGAATTTTTTGGTCTTTTGGTTTACGATTATAAACTTTAATATCAAAAAATTTTTGATTCAAAAAAATTAAAAAAACCTCAGGTTTGACTTCCGCAACTTCATTAAAAACATCCCTTCTTGTAATTTTAAGAAATTCATCTCCAACATCTTTTTCATCCTTTTCTTGTTCTTCATCTACATCAAAAGCATTAGATGATGTATCACCACCAAGCTTAACTTCATCAGCAACAGTCTTTTTCTTATTATCAGAATCTCCAATATTAACACCTCGCTTGCGAAGAAAACGAATTCTTGGAGTTAAAGGTAGACCATAAGATCTTTAAAAAATTAACAGTTAACAAAACTAACGAGAAAATGGCTCTGGTCTAATTTATGAGTCCAATGAACTTTTATGTGCAATAGAGATTAGATCGGCCTGGATCTGGTTCCTAACCTTGATTTTTCTTGGATCAAGAGTCAAAGTCAAGGCAAAGATGATTCTCGATTTCATTTAACCTTGATTTTTTCTTAGACTCAAGGTTATGAATCTAGTCCCGACCATCAACCAAAAGTAAGACCAAAATTTTTTAAAAATTAATCCCTATTGCCCAATTTAGAATAATTTTCATTGGACCCATAAACTAGACCAAAGCCCCATAATTTTAATTTACTTTGCTAGTGCCTCGAAATTGATTGAATCAACATTAAAGACTGCTTTTAATTGTGCAAAATACACAGCACGGGCATATGCAACAAAAGCCTAAATTACAAAAAAAATTTAAAAAAAAAATAGAAAAAAATTTCCCTACACTTTGTGCAAAATGTTTAACTTCAGGAAATGGAATCATTAAATTTGCCAATTTCAGTTGAATAGAAAATAATTTTTGTTTTTCAACCCTGCCAACAAAAAAATTTTTTAAATTAGAAAACTGAAAATTTAACAACTTACTCAACTTTATTAATTGGAATTTGACGAGCTTTTAACATTTCAACAAAAACATCTTCTTGATTACTTGTCAACATGAGCATAGCTTCACCACTTTTGTTCATACGTGCAGTTCTTCCAACTCTTAAAAATTTTAATTTTTTTAAACTTTTTATGGGCTAGGGTCTCAATCTAATAAATTTATTTTTACAAGGAATAGACGTTTTCTGATCTGTCACGTAACAAAAAAACTAATTTCTAGATTTATCTATTTTTAAACATCAAGTTTTGTTTCGGAAAAAATTTGATAGGAAGAAGGGATGGTTGCCTCTACTTTTCGATTTTCGAAAATTCTGAAAATTTTGCTGATTTTTTTGATCACGGTCCACAATAAATTAGGTTCTGAACTAATAGGTCAATACAGAAAATATACGATTTAATAAAAGAGACGAAGATCCATAAAGCAGAGCAAAATTTGCAAAAAAATTTCGCTCGAAAAATCCCGTCGAAAAATTTCTTCTCAAGGAAAAAATCATTCAATTAGTGTTAATGGCGATCGGTTAATTTTGCCTTTAGCGGCTTAAACAAGGAATTTTTCGAGACATCTGAGTCATCACAGGCTGAAAATTAACCTTTCACTCACAACCCCCTAATTTTAATTTTAAAACTCTAATTCTCATACCTATGAATATAATCATCAACAGACGGAGGACAATCCATTTGTAAAACCCAATCAAGACCAACAAAGTCTAATCCTCTACTTGCAATATCTGTACAAATCATCGCTGCTCCTTTATTCGTAATTTCATCAAAACGTTGGAAACGTTCCATTCGTTTTCCTTGTTTTAATCCTCCCCAGAGACCTGTGAAGAAAAGGCCTGGTCGTAAATGGGTTATTGCTTCGGTGAGAAAACGAGCCTAAGGAAAAAATTTTTTTGAGAAAAATCCGATTAAATTTGAAGAAAACCTGTTTACAACTTGTAACAAATATAAGCGTTTTCTTTGTTTTATGATTTCGTAGAAAAGACCAGACAATATTAATTTTATCCTCTTCTTCGCAGACTAGATAAGACTAAAAAATATTTTAGGTAAAAAGGAAAGTTATTTACAAAAGTTAAAATTAAAGGAGAAAAACAGAGGATAAGAAATCTGGAAAACATTTGACCATGAGTTTGAGTCGAGCAAAAATTAAGGAGCATTAGTAAATGGACCTAGAATCAGGGTCTTTATTCTAATTAAAGTTATAAAAGAGTAAACAAAGGCTAACTTATTTAAGAAAAATTAAGGCTAAAATCTTATGTACCAGGGAGTTAACCCGAAATTAAAAAAAGTAACCCGAAATTCGCTACCTAAACTTTTTTCAATACGAAACACGACCCGAAGAAAATTTTAAAACCCCCGTCTGAAATCAGACTCCATGTTTTTCTCACCATAGCCCATCCCTGGCGTGTTTCAAAATTTTAATTAAATCCCTCAGACAAATTTTAATAAAAAAATACCTGAGTTAATTGATCAGGAGTTGAATTTTTAGCACCTTCATGAGCAGATACAAATACTGGATCATTTAGCGAGACACGAACCAAATCTTCAACTCTTTTTGTTTGTGTTGCAGAGAAAAGAAGAGTTTGCCTTTGCTTTGGTAAGTTTTCAATAATTGCATCAATCTTTAAAAAATTCAGAGAATTTTTAGAAAAAGGTAAAATCGAAAATTAGTTTCCCTTCATCTCTCAAACCATAAAAATGGACAGACCTAAATATGCTATACTAATCTCCTACTTCATAGATTAAAGTAAAGTTGACGGTTCTGGACCGAACCGAAGAACCGATGATTTTTCGGTTTGGTTCCGGATATCCAAAGATTTTCCAAAAACCGATAACCCTAGCTACTAGTTCTGGTCTACTGAATCAACTAACAAATTTTAAGTCTGACATTTTTTAATACTTTGAGAAAAGAAGGGGGGAAGTTCGATTTTACAAAAAAATAAAATAAAAAATAAACTTGTTGTTTAAAGCCCATATCCAAAATCCTGTCAGCTTCATCAATTACAAGCATTTGAAGTTGATCAAAACAAAAATAGCCGTTCTCGTCCATATGTTGTAAAAGCCGTCCTGGTGTGCATATTACTATAGAAATGCCGGCAAGACGTTCACGTTCAAACTCGACGTCGGTACCTTAAAAAAAGAATTATGCTAAAATTTGTTTTGGAACTTGATAAAAATTGAAAGTCCGCAAGTATATTTTGAATTAAAAAAATAAAAAAGTTAAAACCAAGTAGAGTTGGGGTTTCGAGTTGGGCCGACGTTCGAGTCATTTTTTCGGGCCTCAATTTATCGGGCAGTCCTACCAAATCTTTTTCGGGCCAAAATCAGATGCCCAACTCTATCTTTCGGCCACAACCCAAAACCAAGGGCATATTTAGGGGTCGAATTTCAGGAAGGGGACACTAAAATGATTCGAAAAAAAGGAGAAGTTAAAGTCAGCAACACAGCAACTACAATTAGTTGATAAATCGAGGAGATTAAATATAACCCAATTTCGAGTTTTAGGAAGAATAAAAAAATTAAAAAATGTAACGCTTTTCAAAACGCATTCAACTGAAAAACAAGCAAAAAAGCTTTGTGCCAAATGCGCTTTCGCAAAGCGTCTAAATTAATTTATTCCCATTAGTTTAAAGGTTTGAAAATCATTTACATTTACGATTAAAACCTTATTAATTAAAATGGGAAAATCGATTTTAGTAACATTTTGAAAGTCTTTTCCCCTTACCTTTTTAAGCTCTCTTCCTTCCCTCATTCCCCTTATTCTTCTTAAGGAAGTGTCACAAATTCCAAAATATTCCAAGTTATTGAAACAAACATAGAAAAAGTTGTGAGGAAGGAGAAAAGGAAGAAAAGCTCAAAATGGTCAAAGAAATGGAAAGGCTGGGAAGACTTCTAAAGTACTCCCAATCTTTCGGAAGCAGGCCAACATACCACGAGCCTAATTTACCGCAGAGCTACAACTTCGTTCAGAATTGTCGAATCCGGCACGCCCTGGTATGATTGATGCGACTCGACGAGCAAAATCGAACCATACCAGGTCGTTCTGGATTCGACCACATATTGTTAGAACAAAGTTATCGCTCTGCGGTAAGTTGGGGGTGTACTCCCAATTTTCCTAGAAAAAAATCTGAAAAAAAAACCTCCAATAAGTAAAGCAGCCGAAAAATCATGATAACTTCCAATATTATTCAAAACTTGAAATATTTGAAAAGCCAATTCCCTTGTTGGAGTGATCACTATAGCACCTAACCCATCAAATTTTGTCCATTTATTTCTCCAAAGGCATTCGAGTAACTTTAAAAAAATTTTAAAATTTCCAAAAAAATTTAAAAAAACCGGAATAAGCAAAGCCAACGTTTTCCCACTTCCTGTTTTTGCTGCCCCAACAACATCCTTTCCAACAAGTGAATGTTTAAGGGAAAGAAGTTGAATATCCGTTGGTGTAGTAAAATTGGAATCTTTGAGTCCTTTTAGTGTTACTGGTGATAATGGAAAATCAGAAAATTTGTTTGCGATGAAAGTTGGCTAAAATTAAATAAAATTATGAGTTGAACAGAAAATTTAGGAACAGGTCAGGAGTCGAACCTTAACTTTTAAGAGCGTTCAAGTCTGGTGCCGAACACCGACGAAAGTCGGAAAACTACCTACCACCCATCGGGTAAACCTTACCAGCAACTATTATTAGACGCTTAACTCACCTAGTATAGTCTACCGACTAGTTTGAGTCAGGACTAGGCCGGGCTACCCGAACCCAACCCGACTTTTTTCTCGACCCGGCCCATCCCTGGTTTGACTGGATCTAGGCCTTAATTCCCAGACAGACTCTGGGATTGACCTTATTTTTGAATCCACCTAGCTGAGTCTGGAACCCTAGAAAACACAAGGCCATAGCCTATACCCAACCTGAATACTCCTACCCAAAGGGATCCTGCCGACAAAAAAACAAAACCCAACCCAGAAAAATCGTCGGGAATTCCCGACTTTGTGAATCGGTCCCGGATAGGATCCTTAGGATAAGATCCCTCCTACCTACTGACGCTGTTTGGACAAACCCCGTACCTTCCTATAGAACTTGAATCTGTGTGTTTCACCAACCAGGCCCGTAGCCAGGATTTTTTTTCGGGGGGGGGGGGGGGGGAATTTTTTGCGCCAAATTTTTGGCGCCGAAGGCGCCAAAAATTTTTATTTTCAGTGCCGCAGGCGAAAATTTTTTGAATTTTAGAAGGCCGTAGGCCAAAAAAATTCACTCTTTCGGCGCCGCAGGCGCCAAAATTTTGATTTTCAGCGCCGCAGGCGAAAATTTTTTAAATTTCAGAGGCCGTAGGCCGAAAAAATTCACTTTTTTTCCCCAGCCCTTCCCCAAATTTTTTCCTTTTTCCCATTTCGGGGGGGGGGGAATTCCCCCCCTCACCCCCCCCCTGGCTACGGGCCTGTCACCAACTAATCACAACTATCCTCCCTTAATACCTGTTCCTATAAACTTTATTAATCAGAAAAACTCACAGAATTTAACGTATCATATTTAATAGTAACTTGTTCAATTAAATTTCCAATACTTGACTTGTTTCTATTTTGTTGTTTTCGTTGTCGTTTCCGTTCAATTAAAGCTTTGTTTTTAGGCTCTTTTAAAATTATTTCTTCGTCATCATCGCTATCTCGAAATTTTTTCCTCATTATAATATTTATATTTAGTTGTTCTGCTAAAAAAACAAAAAACAAAAAAAAAATTTTTTAAAACCCCAAAGGAAAAAAATAAAATAAAAATTTTTTAGATGCCGGCCTCTTTCAGTGCAACATTTTAGTCGCCTTTTTTGACCGGACGTTTCAGTGCTGAAAGTGTTAATAAATATTACAGAGTATTGTCTTCAATAAAGGAAGCCGGAAATTATTTTCAACTGGATTAAGACCAGGCCGAATTAATTTAGAAAAAATCCTAACGGATCTAGTCCGACTTTAGTTACAAATCCAGAATCTGACTGCAGAAAAATCTATTTAAAAAATAGTCACTAGCCTTTATCATACATAAAATAAATGGTTAAATGCTCTAATAGAACCACACTCCCTATTTGAAGCACACTCCCTAATATAAGCACACTCCCTAATATAAGCACACCCTACGAGGGGATCGAAAAATAGAAGCACATGTGATTCTATTAGAGCATTTACGGTAAATGGGAAAATTTATTTACAATTTTTAGTGTTAACAAATGATTATCTATACATAAATTATATACATAATGCCCTAGAATTATTATTTTCCGATATTGTCCTTCATTCTCCTTCCCTCTCATCCAGTTTCTATTCTTTCTATCCTCTAGTTTCTCGGCTTCCCGCTTGCTCGGTAGTCGTTGAAGTTGATTCCATGTTTGTTGGATGAGTGACGATTCTAGGAGTCATGTTGATGATCTGAGCGCGTTGCAAAGGGTAGGGTTCCAACGCCATTACTTGAGGCACATCCACCACCTAAATTTAGGCAAAATAAATTTTTTCAATGTTAAGGCAACTAACAGGTGGAGGCAGCGAGTCATGATTGTGTTGACGATTACTCGATGAAAAGACGAAAATGCCATGGATACTGTTGAAGAGAATTTTCATACGAGCCGGGCATATGTAGAGGCCATCTTCTTTATGCTTAAAAAGTCAAATGTCAATTTTTAAATGTCAATGTCAGACGTATGTCACTTTAAAAAGTCGATGTCAGATGTCAAAATGTCAACTTTTAAAAAGTCGATGTCAGTGTCAGACATATGTCAATGTCAGACATATGTCAATTTACTCACCGCACAATGCCAATACTCGGTAAGCCCAACTTTTGAATCATATCGAGTGTTGAACCTCCACACAAGTCCCTGCTGTCGTCGCTCTTCCGTCCACGCTTCCAATTGACGTTTGGTTCGAAAACGAGCAATAAGCGAAGTGTTATATCTTGATCGCTTGCCAAAGCCTTTGTCTTTATGCATTTTAGAAGCACTCATTTTGTTTTGGACAAACTGTTACCTTAAAGGAAAAAACTTTAGGTAATTTAAAAAGTAAGAAGCTTACTTGACAGCGTTCCAAGTAAACAAGTATCCTGACAATTATGTTGTGTGAATTTGACAAGTAGAAGGTAGAATGGTCTTGGTGAATCTTTCATTTCCCCTTTTATACTAGACTTTATTGACAGAATTCTGAATCTCTTGAATGATCTTATATCCAGCTTCTAGGAGGGAAGATCGCGCATTTAACACACTTACTGGGCTGGGATTTAAACCAGTGTTGATTGCTGGACAGAAGACAGGATTTGATACCTAGGAGAGGTCGCAGGACGATGTGGTGGGGCTCTACTGACCTAAAAACCCCGGGGCCCTCTACTGACCTAGAAACGTTTTTCCCTTATTGGCCTAGAAGGTTAAAAACCAAAAAAATGTGTCACTATCAGTTTTATTACAAAATACATTTTTACATATGTACAATTAACAGAAAGACTATATACATATCAAATTATTTCTCAACGTTATATTATTCAATTCATCCTCTTTCTTACTTCCTTCTCATCCGATTTCAATCTTTCTTGTCATTTTTAGTTTCTCGGCTTCCCGTTTGTTCGGTGGTCGTTGAAGTCATTTCCTTCTTTGGTGGGTGAGCGACGATTCTTGGAGTCATGTCAATAATCAGAGCAGTTTGCAACGGGTAGGGTTCCAACACAATTGTTTCAGAGGCACCGACACCCTGAATTAGATAGATAAATTAGCTCATTTAAACTGTTTTTCGAACCGTTTTAGGTGGCGGCAATGAGGTATGATCGTGTTCACGATTCTTTGATTCATAGAGGTAGATTCCTCGATGGCCGCGGAAGACAACTCGAAGACGAGCCGGGCAAATGTAGATGCCATCCTCTTTGTACTTAAAAAGTCAAATGTCAATTTAAAAAGTCAAATGTCAATGTCAAAAATGTCAATGTCAGACATATGTCAATTTACTCACCGCACAATGCCAGTACTCTGTAGCTCCCTTACGCGCATCATATCGAGTATTGAGCCTCCAAGTCTCTCCCTTCGCCCGTCGACGATCCCACCACGCTGTCAATTCCCGTTGGCTGTTAAAGTGCTCAAGTCTTTCATACTTCGATCGTTTGCCGAAGCCTTTATCCTTCTGGACTTCAGCGGCATCCTTTGTCTTCTGTCGATATTCACCATCATCAGCTGCCCCCATTGATACCTTGAAGGAAAATGAATTTAAAAAAAGTGTAGGAAGGTTTGAAAACAGAAAACATACTTAATTGGGGATGTCCTGACGATCGACGATGAGTGGATCCAGCAGAAAGTAAGTTGAGGTTTTTCGAGATACGGGTTCTCATTTTCCTTTTTATACTAGATTTATTGTCAGGTATATGGATAAAGTGAAAATCGAGTATTGAGCCTCCAATTTGCAAGAACAAAATCAAATTCCCTTACGTATTGTAGGCCACCAGACTTACTACCTTATTGTAAAGCAGGCAAAATTTCCTCCCGTAGCCTAGTAGATGAACCAAGAATGAAAACTGCAACAGTCAATCCTGGGATGGCGTTCAGCTTTCAGGATCATCCAGTCAATCTTTCGTTATTTTCTAGGAGGGATTGCTTTCTGAGAACACGTGAGAAGTCGTCCTTTTCCCCTGACCATTTTGAGCTTTTTCCCTTCATTTTTTCCCTTATTCTTCTTAAGACAAATATCACAAATTATGAAGTATCCAAGCTTTTAGATAACGAAAAATGAACCATCCATGAAAAAATTTTCGGGTAAAGCCCAGTCCTACAACCAGCCCCGATTTTCGTTCCACGTGTGAAAAAAAACAAACAAATATAGAGCACAACACTAATTTCTTTTTTAACATAATTAGGGAATAATAAGATTTATATCAAAATAATCCAACTGGCAATAAAAGTGGACAGAGAGAAATTAGAGGAAAAAATCAGAGGAAGAGAAGAGAGGAATTAAACGTGAGGGGAGGAGAGGAGAGGGAGAGAGGGGCTTTTGGATGTTTTGGACTATGGAACCGGTTGGAGATTATTTTATATAGAAAACTTTTTTTTGAAAATACTTTCCTTGTTCATTCTCATTTTTAAAACTAAAAATAAAAATTTTTTGTTGGCCCCAACATCTTGTTTACCGAGTGTCCTCGTCTTAGGTAGGTTAGATTTTTAGACTCTGACAAGTTCAATTTTTATTTTTAAAGTGCACTCCTCTCTCTAATCCTCTCTCTAATCGGACAAAAACTAATATTTCGTGCTTGTATCAGTTACAAGTACAAGTAAAGCCTCTCTCTAATTGATCAAAATCTCTCTTAAATTAAACCCTCATTTAGGGTACAGCCCACTTAGTCGCGCGGCCACTTAGTCGCAGAGCCATAACTTCCTTCAAGTTTTCCGAATCTTACCAAATTTAGTATTAAACGATTCCTCTCATCGAGCTAAAGAGATTGGTACCAAAATTGATAAGGGCAAGAAATTTTTTAGCAAGTTATGGCTCTGCGACTAAGTGGCCGCGCGACTAAGTGGGTGTCTCCCACTCATTTATTTTGTCACTCCCCCGTCTGTCTGCAAATTGATAACATGCCTTGGCATTAGGGTTGTCAGTTCTCGGAACTGAATCGAAGAACAGAGGATTTTTTTGTTCGATTCATCTATTCGGTTTTTGATATCCGAAGATTCCAAGAACCGATAACCTTGCTGGGAATAAGTTGAAAATGTGGCTATTTTCAATTTGCGGACAAAAAATGCGGACACAAACCCGGGGAAGGGAACTGTTTCTATAAACTATGGGATCTTCTGATTTTTTCCAGAAATTTTTTTTCTGAAATTTTTTCGTTCAAATTACTTTTTAAAAAAATCATGGTAATAGTTTGGAATTCGCCCCCCTTTTTTCAACGATTCCCTGACCATTTTGAGCTTTATTGTTTGATACATAATTTATCATATATCATTCGAAAGAGCTCTTCGAGCCTGGTCGAATGATACCATGATTAGCCAGATCTAATCATTCTTACTAAAATTATGAAGCCTAATCCTAGTTTGGGAAAACTTTTTGTGTCAATGCAAGGGGATAAAATAAACGGTAACAACTTTGTTCACTTAAGTCAGATTTCGTTGTTCTTAACGTCATTCGACTCAGCTTGAAGAGCTCTTTCGAATGATATATAATTTGCCATAAAATGAAAAAAAACTTAGAAAAAGAAGAAAGGAAAAAAAGGGGGGCGAATTCCAAACTATTACCAAAATCATTTTCTGTCTTTTTTTCCTATCAAAAAATTTGCCTTTCCACGTCCACTAAAATTTTTAGCCAAAAAATTCTTTTCAATTTTCCCCTTATAGTGGGCATTTAAAATGAAGAGAGAGGAGAGACGGAGAAAAAAGCCGAAAACCAACTAAAAAATCATTCACTTCTGCCTTAGTTTTGACGGCCGAGCGATCGCGCAACATTCAAAAAAATTCTTTTTATAATCACATTTTGCGTTTGTCCACTCTTTCAAAAAAATCTGTGTGTATTTTCTCTTCTTTTTTTTATTTTCTTTTTATTCTTTTTTTTGATTTTTCATTTTTCCATCCTCAAAACATGTATTACATTAATATTTTTAGTCCAATAATATTTTATAAATTTGCGGACAAAACTTGCGGACAAATTTTTTTAACTTGTAAAGTATTTTAAAAATTCTTATCAACTATTTTAGCCAAGTTAATAGCCCTACTTTTAAGATCCCTCCTAATTTTATCCATACTCCCTAAAGGCTTAGTCCAGTTTTTATAATTTTGCGGACAAAACTTGCGGACAAAAATTTTTTTTAATTTTCTGAAGCATTTTAAAATAGGCTTATGTATTAAATATTTTAGCCAATAATAGCCCCTTCCTTTATGATATTTATCCTAAACCCTCCTAATCTTGTCCATAGTTTGTCCATATTCCCCAAAGGCGATCGCGCAGCATCAAAAAATTTTATTGTTTTTTTTTTCAATTTTTTCTTCATTAAAAAATTTTTAAAAATCAGAATAAGCAGAAACGACGCTTTTCCAATTTCTGGTATTTAATTTTTTTATTTAATTTGATTTTTCTAACTTTAAAACATGTTAATATTTACCCAGATTTTTAATAGTTTGCAGAGGTAAAAACATTCCACTTAAGTATTTTCCCCGCATTTCAGAAATTTTGTAATGGGCGCTAACCCGAAAAAAATTTTTTTTTAATTTTTTAATCAAAACAAAAATACCCTTACAAATTCTAATGGAATAAAAATTATAATTATGTCCGCAAAAAATTTTTTTGTCCGCAAAATTTTTTTCTGTCCGCAAAAAATTTTTTTGTCCGCAAAAGTTGTTTTCTGTCCACTTATTTCCCCCTACATTTCTAAAGTTAAAAAAAAAGTGGAGAAAAGTCGTTTTCGCGCTCTCCGTGAAAAATCTGAGAGAAAAAATAAAAGAAAAAAAAGTATTATTTAGTACTGGCCGATTTTAGTTGTTTAGTTGATGGCCGGTCTTTTCCCCTTCCCCTCTCTTCTTTTTTCCTCATTCTCCATTAAATCCACTTTTTTTTCTTCCTCAATTTTATATCGAAAGTAGGACTTGCGCAAATTTATTTTTAAGGCAAAAAATTACGTGCAAAAATTACGTTTTGATTTTTAGTGTATTTTCTTCATGTTGTTTTGTTGTTGTACTTTTAAAGAGAAGAATAGAAGAAGAGATTCTTCTTTCTTCTCTTCTTTTCTTTTCTTTTGTTTCGTCTTCCTCATATTTTGCCAATACCACATTTTGCCAATAAGGCTAAAAATCCACATTTTGCCAATAAGTAGTGTTGACAAAATGAGAGTTTTCCCCCTTTATTGGCAAAATGTGGTATTGGCAAAATATGGTGACATGGCCTTCTCTCTTGTTTCATTGCGCAATTGCGCTTTTTTTCTTTTTTTGTTTTTATTTTTGATTGTCACCGACGTTGCGCTTTTTTGTCCACTCTTCTTGTTGCGCGACAATATTATCCTCCCTCTCTTCTTCTCCCTTTTATTTAAAATTAAGCCTTATTATTTTTCCCCTAATTTTCTTTTTTTTTCTTTTCTTGTTTTTTTGTCCACACAACTGGTCAGCGAAATAATTAGAAAAATAAATAAATTAATGTTGATTTACCTAGATTTTTATTTTATTGCCATAATTAGGTTAGTATGTTTTTCGAGAAAAAAGGGGGGAAAATTAATTATTTTTTGGGGGGGGGGGGGGGGGGGGGCGGGGAGAATTTGCGGATCGGGTTGCGGACGTCTACTAAATTAAAGCCTTACGGCTACTAAATTACTATAAGACGTACTCTTGGGGAGGAAAAATTCATACCTTATAATGAGGGCTACCTTAAATTGGAGGTATTGTTTGGGCAGCTCCCCAAACTCTTGGCCAACCAAATTTTAGGAGAACGTAGCTTAAATCGAGATGGGTCTGATAGGCGTTGTTTCTAAACATATTAAACTTTGGCCGTTCCAACTTGTATATCTTCCATTCTTTTCGCAGATATATCTAAGGCGGGGAGGAGAAGGGTTACCCGAAATCTAGACTTTTTCTCGGACAATCCGAGAAAGTTTCCAAAATCGTAAACCCGACCAGGCTGTTTTTCCAACTTGTCCCATCTCCTCCCAATCAGAGGTGGGTCGGAATTCCGATTTCCGACGTTTTTTTCCTTCCGATTTCCGAGTTCCAACTTTTGAGCCAGTTCCGATTTCCGATACCTCTGACTGCTCCGACCCACCTCTGCTCCCAACCCGTCCTATCTCTGATCTAAGAGTGATATTATGGCTGACAAACCTAGGATGATCATCCCTTACTACTCTTTTTTAAAAATAATTTAAACTAAAAAACTCTCCCTTTTCAATCATTTTTTCTCTTTTGTTCACAAACTAGGCCCATTATTCATTTTTCAATTTTCACTTTATTCACACAGTCATTTGCTGATTTTCTCTTAAATATTATTTTTTTTTCGACCGGCTGAATGGCCGAGCACAACAAGCACAGACCGGCACACGGACACGTTCTTTTCTTTTTTTTCCTTTTTATTTTTCCTTGTTTTTGTTGTCTCACTTTTTATATAATGCGCGTCCTCCACGCCAGCCAAAAATTTCTTCCCCTTCCTTCCCTTCTTCTCTTCACAAAAATTTTCTTCTTCTTCGTCCTTTTCCTCTCTTCCCTATAAATATATTTAACAACCCCCCCCCCTTTAAAAGCAATTTACAAAACACACTCCCTTTTTGCTTCCGACTGTCCACACATTTAATTCAACTTTTATTTTTAAATATAAAATACTTAACTTCACTTTCCTCGCAACAACAAAACAAAAACTTTAAAAAATTAAATAGACAATAAATGGTTTTTTCTCAACTTTTCTAAATTTTGTTTTGCCCTGTTGTTCGTCTTTAACCCTGCGGGTTTCGCACTGAGGTTGGCGGATCCTAAAAAATCTTCGGTCCGGAAATTTCAGATATCCAGGTTTTTGGATCCTGAATCCGGATCCGCCATCCCTATTTCGCCTGCCCTTTTCAAACTCTCAACTTGTTCATTTCTAACCCTACGGGTCTTTCGCCCCTTTTCTCAACATGTTAGCACAAAGGTTGGCAGATCTTTGGGAAATCTTCTGATACCTGACAAACCGAAAGTTGGTATATTAAGACTTTTTTCGGACTTTTCCTGATCTGCTACCCTTATTCCCCAACGTTTCTAGCTCGTTCGTGGTCTCTCACTATTTTTTCCGCGGACACCCAATTCTTCCGCGGACACACTATTTTTTCCGCGGACACCTTTATTAGTGCAGCTCCAGGGAAATCTCTTCGGATGCTTGCCGAACCTCAACTTTTAGATATCCGGACACTTTTTTCGAATCAAAACATCCGAATCCGCTAACCCTACTTCTTTAAACACTCCTAGCTCGCTCAGGCTTTACCAACATTTTTTCTTTAATTTTTTGAAGTTTCCGCCTTCCGTCACTCACTTTTTTTTTGTTCTCTTCTTCAAAAACACTTATCCTCTCTCTTCAAAAACTTTTTTCTCAACAAACAAAACTCCTTTAAAATCTCTCAAACAAACAAAAAATTTTTTTGCCAATTGTCCACCTTCATTTGTCCTTCGCCTAGTTTTTTTTCTTTTTTTTTCCGTCTGTAGTGTCGCTCTAACGCACAAATCGGTGAATTTTATTTTTTAAAATTTTCTATGTATTTGTAAAATATTTTAATTTATTTTTTCTCAAGTTTTTTTACTTTTCAAGTTCTGTCCAATTTCTATAAAATTGAAATGTTTCTTGGTGCCGTTTTAATTTTTGGGGGTTCCCCTGTTATGTTTTCCATAAACCAATATCGGAACAATCGTTGTTCCAAGTTGTTCCAAATGTCTGGAATCGAAAAATACTTGTTCCTATACCGTATTTACTCGATTAATTCCCCTCCCTCGAATAATTCCCCCTGCTACGGATGAGTCGAAACAATAATCCCCCTCTCCCAAATACCCTACTACACGTTCAAATTTCAAAACTCGAATAATTCCCCTCCCTCGAATAATTCCCCATGCTACGGATGGGTTGAAAAAATAATTCCCCAGCGAAATTAATCGAGTAAATACGGTAATTGCTTAACAATCTTTGGGTAAGGGGAAGACTTCCCGTAGCAAAAAGTTTTTCAACTCCAGTGGCATCCGTGGTGTAGTGGTTAATATGCCAGACCTTCGCACACCTCTTCCTTTCTGATAGCCCAGGTTCGATGCCTAGCGGCGTATATTGGTTGCTTTTAGTCTTAGTGTCTTATAAACACCTTGTTTTTTTAATTTCAATTTCCTTCTCTTCATTTTAAATTTTCTCTTCCATCAAACAATCATCTCTTCCTTTGTGTCCTTTTATTGTTGTTATTTTCTTTTCCATTTTTGTCTCCAATTTTTTCTTTTCACCTTCGCGCGCCGGCTGGCACTAACACTTCTTTTTGACCTTACTTTTACGAAGCGAAATCGCGGAATTCTCCCAAAACTTTTTTCTATTGCGCGTACGGCCTTTTTTCTACTCCCTTTCATTTAAAAGGTGGCAATTGTAACTGATGGCCTTCATCATCACACGCTCTCCGTCTTCCAAAAACATTTCTTCCGTGCCCGCTCAACTCATCGAATCCTTAACTCATCGAATCGACCAAAAACACTCAACTCATCGAATCGGCTAAAATTCCTTAACTCATCGAATCGGCCAAAAACACTCAACTCATCGAATCCTTAACTCATCGAATCCTCAACTCATCGAATCGGCCAAAAACGCTCAACTCATCGAATTTTTCCAAAAGGGGACGTTTGAGTCCCCTGTTTTTATTTTTCTCCCGAAAGGGCTAACTGAATCTTCGTTGAAAAAATTTTTTGCTGCTATGGAGGCTAGGAAAAAGGGCTTTTGGGCATAATCGGGGTCTACTGGACTAATTTGGTCCGGTTTTACCCGGTAAAATCTCCAGCATAATTTATTAGGAATGAGATAATGTTTTCAGGAATGAGATAATGTTCTGATAATGTTTTCACTGGCCGGATAAACTTGGATGAGTGCCCGATCAACTAATTAACAAAATTAGTTGAAACCCCAGAAGAAAACAAAAAAAAATAAACAAAACAATAAAAAATCTAAAAAATAAACACGGGGACTCAAACGTCCCCTTTTGGAAAAATTCGATGAGTTGATCGTTTTTGGCCGATTCGATGAGTTGAGGATTCGATGAGTTAAGGATTCGATGAGTTGAGTGTTTTTGGCCGATTCGATGAGTTGAGGATTCGATGAGTTAAGGATTCGATGAGTTGTAGGGTAGCCATTTCTTCCCTTTCTTGATTTTACTCTCTTATTTCTTTGATACTCTTCGTCTCTCTATGCTCGTCTCTTCCTTTCTTTTTTCTTCCTTTCTTCCTTTCCTCTTCTTCATCCTTTTTCTTCATCCTTATCATCCTTCCTTTCTTTTTCACCGCTTCTTCATCTCTTTTCATCCTTTTCTTCTTATTCCTTTTTCTTATCATCGTTTTGTCTTCGTTTCTTTATCCCCTCTCCTCCCTTCTTCATCTTTTCTTCCTCTCTCCTTCATATCTTCTTCCTTTCTTCTTCAACCCTTCTTCCTTTATTATTCATCTCTTCCCCTTCTTCTTTATCTCTTCGTCTTTTCTTCCTTCCTTCATCCTTTATTCCCTTCTTTTCATCATTTCTCTTTACTTCATCTTCCTTTCTTCATCTTCCGTATTCTTCACCTTATTACTTATTTTTACCCTAAATTTTCTCCTGAATCTTCTCTCTCCTACCCCTTCCATTTAGCTAACTAAATTTCCCCTTTTCCATCTTAATTCTTCTTTTCATCTCTTTCACTTCCCTTTCCGCCTTTTCCATAATTCCCTTTTCTACGCAAAAGTCTTGGTCATATCTTCTTCTTCCATTTTTCCCCTATGGGGCGCCCAAGGTCGATGGCCCTGACCTGAATTTGTTTTCTTTTTGAATGTATGTTTTGTGTCCTCATTTCGTTTCTAAAAGGACAAAACAACAACAAAAATTGTTGAACAAGAGCTCAAGAAGATCTTTAAGGGGAGAAAGTATTAGATCACCCAACCTACCTATGAAACCTAAAAAAAATTTTTTTTGAAAAATCATTTTGCCAAATTTCTTTCGCTTTTTTCGCTTTATTCTTGCCTTTTATTTTTTTCAAAGAAAAATTTTTTTTCCAATTTTCAGATTCTAGAAATCTCTAGAAAATGGGCCTTGATTCCTCCCCCGACCCCTCTACCAGTGCAGAACAATTGGTCGCCTCTCCCGTTGCTACAGCAGTCGTGGCTGATGCACAAGTTGCTACTGCTGCCACTGATGTGCTTAGGCAAATGATAGCAATGGAGAAACAACAACAACGAAAACGCCCTTCTGTTTCGTGTGATTCTGCTGATGGGCACAGACGGAATATCAAAAATGAAGGAGAGAATGTAAGGGGCTATTTTAAAAATGATATAGTAGTTAGAGGTCGGCGCGGGACGGGATCCCGACGGGATTTTCTGGGATCCCGAATTCCCGTTTTTTTATTTTCGGAATTTTTCGGGGATTTATTCCTCGGGATCCCGTCCCGGCATCGGTTAAGAAAAAAATCCCGACTCGGGATCCTAGAAGTTGATTTTGCCGACCTCTAGTAATATGTAGTAGAGTTGGACTTGACTAAAAATAAAATTTCCCTCAGAAATTTGGGTGGTCACCGGGTTAGGGAGCTGTCTAAGCAATACCTTTTATTTAAGATACACCTCATTATAAGGCAATTTTTAGATTCCCAAAGGGTGTATCTATAAATGTGGTTTGAGGGTATTTAAAAATTTCACGCAAAGCAAGAGCAAGAGTTATTTCTAGCCTGATTATTCTAGAAATTTTTTTAATTAAAAAAATATTTTGCCTTTTATTTTACCAACGTTTGAGGGGAACTCTCATTGGACGTCTTCATTATCGAGAATTCTGCGCAGTACGAATACAGCAGATGAAGAAGAAAGACGAATAAATGGACAAGAAGCATCTACTGTCGGTCAGAATTTTAAAAATTAAACTAAAATTTATTCTGGCTTGGGTGTCCAAAAATTTTTTTTTAAATAATTTAGTGGCCACTAGGTCTTCGATAATGCTTTGTAAAACACTCAAAAAATATTTTTGGACTTTGAAAAAAAATTTTTCTACCCTTTATTTAATAACCTCTCATTATAAGGTACCTATTTTTATTTTGTGTTTTTAGAAGGGTTAAGTAAGTGGTCCTATTCCGGAGCGGGCCAGTTGAGCCCCGCCGGTTGAGCGCCAGCCGATTTTGATCGGCTATAACTTTTTTGTGCTTGAATCACTCGTAATGATTATTATATCATTCGAAAGCCCTTGATAAGCGCTATCTTTTTTCCAACTGGATGGTTCAAGTCTGATCACATGTTAAAAAGATACAAGTCGATAAGTGCAGGAAATCGTTGTTTTTCACACTTATCGACTTGTAACTTTTTAAACGGTGATCAGACTTGATCCATCCAGTTGGAAAAAAGATACCGCTAATCGAGGGATTTCGAATGATATAAAACTTATTTGTATTGGATCAAGGCTTAAAAAGTTATAGCCGATCAAAGATCTCTGGCGCTCAACTGGCGGCGCTCAATTGACCCCAACCGTCCTATTCTGCACTTAAAAAAATTTTTTTGCTTAAAAATAAAAAAAAGATAAAGGTGAATGGGTGGGTGAATAGACCCAAAAAATATATATTTAGATAATATTTACATACATTTATTTTTTAAATACTACTAAAAGATGGGCAAAAGTATATATTTTTTTGGGTATTTATTTTTGGCGCCCTCATTTAAAAAAATTATTTTGGGGCAAGTAAAGTGAATGTTTTCTTTAGTGAATGATCTTTATTTTGTGCTTTTTTGTAAGGTTGTATTGGCCCGCGCGCCCTTTTATATTCAAAAAACCAAAAGAGAGAAACACGTGCCAGTAAATAACACAAAAACTGCCTTTTTAAGTCCGCTAATAAACTTGCGGACTGGCTTTTGCGGACATCCTCAAATTTCATTTTTTTCGAAAAAAAGTGTGTTCTGCCCAATTTCAACTGGAAAACTTTAAACTTTTATTCTATACTCAATTTTTAATTTAAAGCAAACAACAATAACACCAATTGCAACCCTCCCAATCTCGAATTAATTAGCGATGCTGAATTGGCAATGCTTTGTGTGTTCCATGTGCCTGATAAAGCTTTACATTTACAAGACCCGAATAATCGAGCTTTTACGTCTCTTCCGCTTAATTTAACTTTGAAACCTTCAAATGTGGCAATGGCTAAAGAGAGAAATGTTTGTTTGTTTTTTTTTAGAAAAAATTTTTAAAAAAATTTTTCAAAAATCAAAAAATAATTCAAAAAATTAAAAAAAAAATTTCAAAAATTTTTCAAAAATCAAAAAATAATTCAAAAAATTAAAAAAAAAATTTCAAAAAAAATCAAAAAAATTTTCAAAAATTTCAAAAAATTTTCAAAAAATTTTTTGAAAAATTCTCAAATTTTTTTTTAATTTCTCAGACTCTAGTGTCCAAAAATTTCAAAATTATTTTTAAGGAACTCGGTGTATTTTCAACAGATTTTATTCCTCGTTTCGCCCGTTTTGGCCCATTATGTGGTGATTGTCGAATGCCTTTAGTTAATAAAGAGGAAAATGCTAGTACAGTATCATTGCCATTAAAAGAAGCTAAAGCATTTTGCTTAAAAAGCGTGGGAGAAGAGAAGGAAAAAAGAAAGAAAGAAAAATTTAAAACAAATAGTTTTGATGAATCAACAACAAAAACAAATGTTTTAGAAAATGTTTTGGAAGATGTTGGGCATTTTAAACAGCAACAGAAACAACAATATACAATTAAAACATCAACAAACAATGAAGCAAACATTAATTCTGATTTTAATTTAAACCAGAATTTAATAAAAACATCAGCAAACAATGAAGCAAACATTTATTCTGATTTTAATTTAAATCAGAATTTAAATCAGAATTTAATAAAAACATCAACAAACAATGAAACAAACATCAATTTAAATCAGAATTTAATTGAAACATCAACAAACATTGAAACGAACATTTATTCTGATTTTAATTTAAGCCAGAATTTAAACCAGAATTTAATTAAAACATCGACAAACACCAATATAAACATTAATTCTGATTTTAATCTAAATCAGAAAAACAAAGAGAGAGAAAAAGATGAAATGAACAACAACAACATTAAAACAAAGAGAAGCAGTGTTTGGAAGGTAAAGAAATGTTTTTAAAAAATCTAAAATACAAACAAAAATTCTGACTATCAGAATTTAAATCAGAATTTAATCAAAACATCAACAAACACTAATACAAACATTAATTCTGATTTTAATTTAAAAATAAGAAAATAAGTTTTAAGCTTGTGTGGGAGAAAGGGACATAATCCACTCCCCATCTAATAATCCTTTAAAATTTATCAAATTAAATATGTAGGCTTTTCTGCCCTTTCTTTTTAAAATAAAAATTGACCATTTTATCAACTTAAATAAAAATTTTTATTTTTTATAAACCTTTCCCCCTCTTCAAAAAAGCAATCCACCAATCTCAGCTGAGTGAGTCTTGTGCCCTTTTTACCCTTTTAAGGCTTTCAAATGTTTATTATATCGTTTTCCTTTTAAAAAACATTTTTCCTTCCCTTCCCCGCCCACAGAAAAATAAAACAAAAAAAAATGTCAAATTAACCAAAAAACGGTATTTTATTAAAAAATAATTTAATAGGCCCTCAGTTTCAATTTCATTCTCATTTTTAATTTTCCTTTAAATATATAAAATAGGAAAAATTTGAAGCAAAAGTAAAAATGCTTCTTAAAGAGAGTCTCAGTTTCATGGGAAAATAAATTTTACTAAAATTAATCTCTCTCAAAATATTTTTTGTTTTGATTTAAAATTTATTTTTATTTAATTTCCTTAGATTTTCTCATCTAATAATGCTTCCCATTTACTTCGTCTAATTGAAACAAATTCAAGAAAAGCTAATTGGATGAAAAACGTTCAGATGGCTGAAAATAAGGAAGAACACAATCTTGTTGCTTGTCAAGTAAAAAAATATTTTTAAGAATATTACTGTCGGACCTCGCCTTATAGATGCCCCCTTAGGGCTGAAACTGATGCCCCCTTAGGCCCCTTAGGCACAGGGTTGGGCAACCCTGTGCTTCCTCACACTAACGACCTGGAGGTGTTTTTCATATTGGGGGTATCTTATAATGAGGAGTTTTAGAGGTTTATCTTATAATGAGATTTGACTATCTCTTAAATAGAGGGTATCACTTAGATAGCCCCTCAACTCAAGGTCCAACCCACCTTTAGATAGCGTTCTTAAATAGATCACGAAAAGCAAATTGGTGAGTGTCTTATAGTGAGAGTATCTTATAATAGGGGGTATTAGTGTGTGTTTTATAATGAGGTCTGACCCTGTTAAATAAATTAAAAAAATCATATTTTTCTCCTTTAGTACGACAACGAAATTTATTTTTATACAATACGCTCTATCCAACCCAATACAGAATTACTCTTTTGGTACAGTCATGAATATGCACAACATTTAAGGGTTGAACAACGATTAAATGGTGTTTTTATTTGAAAATTTTTGTTACTCTTAAAAAAATTTTTTTGAAGAAAATGAATCTGAAAAAGCTCAAAAAGAGCAACAAACTACTACAGATTTAATGAGAGAAAAATGCTCAACACCAGAGCGTTTGCCTGTTTCAGGAGGTGTAAGCAACTGCGGTAGTAATTTGAGAAAGGTATTGTAAAATTGCGATGGAACCTCTTAGCCCTAGGGACTGAGAACTGTACCTTATAATGGGGTGTATTTTAAATAGGGGGTGTAACTTGGTAATCCAATTTTAAATGGCGTACCTTAAATATATGGCTATTTTGTATTATATAGAGGGTATCGCTTGGGCGGTTTCTCACCCAATGGCCAACCAACCTTTGACAACATAAGTGCCGTAAATAGAGGGTATCCTCTAATATTGGGTGTATTTTATGTAGAGGTTTTGATTAACCGATCAAGTGTTTCGACATCACAGTTGAGCTGTCGAGACTGTATCTAGTTAATTTTTAGACAAACTCTTTGCTCATTGGCTCTTCCAACTCTCAACATTCACATCATTCACCAGTTGCTTCAGCTTCATCAACTTCTGACTTGACACCTTTATTTAGCGATGACTTTATTTCAATAAATTCTAGTTCAGAAAGGTAGAAAGGACGTTAGCAAGTCGAAAAATAATTTTAAAAATTCTTTTTAGTTCTTCACCTACAAGCCCCCCACCCGGTCAATCACAACAAAATCATCGTCATCATCATCATAATAATAACCATATTTATGGACATTCCCATAAGGGAGAACTTCAACGTCATCTAAGTTTTTCTGAAAAGTTGCCAGCAAAAGTAGATAACCATTCCTCTTTATTTCATCAAAATAATAACCGTCCAAATGTAATTATTCAACAACAATCTTCCTCTTCGTCCTCTTCAACTTCTTCAGTTCACCGTCCTGTCCCCTTACGTTTGTCTAGCCCACAGGCACCCACCACTCTTCTACCCACAGCTTTGGGCTCTGCTTTGGCTAATCTGCCGTCTTTGGGAAGTTGTCCAAATTCTTCCCTATTACAAACCCAAACAGCTCCTTCATTAGCATCCTTAGCCTTTTCATTGGGCCATAGTGCTTTTCTTCGCCCAACTTCCACATCTTCCAATATTTTGTCCTGTAATAATTCAACAACAACAACATCATCCTTGGGAACATCTTTATTCTCTTCTTCTACACCTTCGCTTCCTTTTCCTCATCAAAACAACCCTCTTCCTTCCAATAACTTCCCTTCAGTCTCCTCTACAGCTATGGATAGTCTTCACAATCTAATATGGTCAAGACGTTTAGCACTTGCAGCAGTACAGCAACAACAACAATTTGGGAATTGGTTACAGACTAGTGGACTTGCTGCTACCAATAATGGCAATTCAGCTAACAATTCTACCACCCCTTTAACTACCCATCTACTTAATTTACAAGCTATTGTTGCCCCAACAAATAATCCAAATTCTTCTTTGAATCAAAATGGAGGAGGAATTGTTAGTGGAGGTGGAGGAGGAGGACGGGCTGCAGCTGAACAACATTTAATTCCAGCTTTAGGCTGTACAGCGGTGGCGTCAGTGCCTTCAATATTGCCTTCTCGCAATAATAATGGTAGGCTTGATTTAAAGTTGCGAAATTTTTCTGGAAAACCCTTCGATAGAGCAAGATATTGTTATATATCGTCCGCAAATATTTGCGGACAAAATTTGGTGTCCGCAAATATCTGCGGACAAAATATCGGTGTCCGCAAAATTTGATGTCCGCAAATATTTGCGGACAAATCTTGTGTCCGCAAATATTCTTAAATACATTTTAATAAAACTTTCAATTTAGCAGCACTTTCTTCATCCCAACAACATACTATTAAACAACAAAACATCCATCAAACTCGATCCTTGGCACAATCCCCATCATCACTCTTTGCCGCTGTAGCTGCAATGTTGCCTCAACAACAACAACAAAATCGACAAGATAACGAAAATCCTTACAATATTCGTCACCAACAACAATTCCCTCATCAAACTCCTCATATACTTCGTCCTCCTATAAATAATGGATTATTAACAGAAATGAGAAGTGGGGATTTGATAAATATTGGCCGATCAACAACAACAACCAACCAAGCAACTTCAATCCAGTCAACTTCAATTCCTCCTGCAGAAGGAATTTCTTCTTCCTTTGCTGTAGCAGCAGAACTTAGACAATCTTTACAGGCATATCAAGCTGCGTTGGTTGCGGCCGCTGAACGTGTTGCTCGTAATGAAGAAGGGGGAGGAGGAGTAGAAAGAAGAGTAGGAAAGGAACGAAGAGAAAATGGAAACAATAAAATTAATAATTTTGGGGAACAAAATATACAGAATAAGGCAATATTTAATTTTAAAAATTGAAAAAAAATTTTTTATTAGTTTTGGCATTCACAACAAGTAGATGGAAGGACGCGTTATGAGTGTAAGGTAGTATTTTTATGTTTTTGTGTTTTCTAAACAAGTTGAATTGTGTTTTTCCGGAATTAATAATTTGTTTTTTTTTTAATTTAATTCAAGTTTGTGTTTTCCGCAATTGTTGTGTTTGTTTTCTGAAAATTCAGAATTCAGTAAAATTGTTTCAGAATTGTGTTTTTTAATAATTCTGATTTTAATAAATTCTGGTTTTTAAAAATTCTGGTACTGAAAATTCTGATTTAATTAATTCTGGTTTTGATTAAATGATTCTTATTAAAAATTCTGGTTTCAATAATTTCTGGTTTGCTTGAATAATTCTGATTTAAAAATTCTGATATTAAAAATTCTGATTTATCCTGAAATTCTGATTTTAATTAAATAATTCTGATTTTTTAAATTCTTTTCTAAAATACATAGGAATGTTCAAAACCTTTTGGTCAGTTGTCAAACTTAAAAGTCCATTTACGAACACATACGGGAGAAAGGCCTTATAAATGTAGTAAATGCAATAAAGGGTAATAGTTTAAAAATACATTCTTATTTAAATTTAATAAATAGATTCACTCAATTGGCACATTTACAAAAACACGATTTGGTACATACCGGGGAAAAGCCTCATCGTTGTGAGGTAAAATAATTAAATTAATTTAAATAAATATTTAAAATTTCTTTAAGGTCTGTGACAAACGTTTCTCTTCTACTAGCAATTTAAAAACACATCTTCGTCTACATAATGGACAACGCCCTTATAGGTGGGTTAAAAATTCTTGTATTTTTACTTTATTAGAATTGTTTTTGTATTTTCTAAAATTTGTGTTTTCTCAAATATTTCATAATTCTGATTTTTAAATTATAAATGAATTTATTTTTTCTGATTTTTCAGAATTACGCTTTTTAAAAATTCCGATTTTAATTAAATAATTCTGATTTTTTTTAATTCTGATTTTTTTAATTCTGATTCTCACAGAATTCTGATTTTTAAAAATTTGTTTCATTATTTTTATTCCGATTTTTAAAATTTAAATCTTACCTTCTCAAATTAAATACAGTTGTGATCGCTGCAATCTTTCATTTACACAGCTTGTACATCTAAAACTACATCAACGCATACATTCTAATGTTTTTTTCTAAATTATTCTCTTTAAATATTCTCTCTTAAAGGAACGTCCCTTTACATGTACTTCATGTGGCCGTAACTATATTAGCCCTAGTGGTTTACGTACTCATTGGAAGAATACTGCTTGCCGTCCACTTGCTAACGAACTAAATTATTTACAAAATTATGTTGATGGTTTGGCTGGGGCGGGTACTGGGGAACGTTATTGTTCTTCAACAGCTTCTAATGTTAGGGGTAAAGGAAAAAATTTTTAAAAATTAAGAAAATTTTTTTTTCAAAGTTTTGAGCCCATCAAATATGGAGATGGAAAGACAACAAGAAGAATATGAAGAAAATTGTAGTGTTAATGAGGAAGGATTATTTATGAAAGGTGAAATTGAGGAAGAGAGTGTAGGCGAAAATGAGGAAGAAATTATAAATGTGGTAATTTTAAAAATACAAAATAAATACAAATTACTATAGAAAATACACATCAAAAATACAAACTAAAATACAAACAGAATTAAATAAATCAGAATTGTGTTTTTGCATTAAATTAAGTGTTTTAGTAAAATACAAAATCAGAATTATTATTTTTTCAGAATTAAATTTCAGAATTTATTTTTCAGAATTAATTTTCAGAATTTTTTCAGAATTTATTTTTTCAGAATTTATTTTTCAGAATTTTTTCAGAATTTATTTTTCAGAATTATTTTTCAGAATATTTTTCAGAATTCAATTCAGAATTTTTTTCAGAACTTATTTTCAGAATTATTTTTTCAGAATTTAATTCAGAATTTTTTTCAGAACTTATTTTCAGAATTATTTTTTCAGAATTAACTCTCAGAATTTATTTTTCAGAATTTTTAAAAACTTATTATATTTAAACCAGAATTAAACAGAATTATTTTAAAAACCAGAAATACAAAATACATATAAAATACAATTTTAATTAAAATAAATTTCTGTTTAAGTCAGAAGAAACTTCCAACAAAAAGTCAGATATGCGGGAATGTTGTAATAGTGCAAAAGACAATATCAAATCAGAAGATATTGTAATATGTGAGTGAAAAAAACATTTTAATAAAAAATGTGATATTTAAATATTTAAAATCCGACCGTGTGCAATTTTCTAAAAAACACAAAAACACCCAAATTTAATTTTTTTCATGCAATAATTAATTTAGAAAAAGCAATTTTTATTTATAATTTATTTAAAAAAATATTTTAATTTTTTTTTTCATAAAATTTTGTATTTATTTTATAAATAAATTTAATTATTAAAAGAATAATGGCAATAAATTTGTTTAAGTGAGGTAGAGCATTGAGTAATCTTAGAAAAATCAGAATTACTCCTCAGTCAAGCCTCTTTATAAGATACCCCCAAAATCAGATATACCTCTATTTAAGGGAATAAAATTAGGTAGTTACTAGGTGTAGGAAGCTTTCCAAGAGATACCCTCTATTTAACATTCACCCATTATAAGGTAAAATTTTTTCAGTGCTAAGGGGGATCAAGCCTCCTCCCTATAAGTTACTCCCAAAAACACCTCTATTTAAGAGACTTTTAAAATTAGGTAGTTCCCTAGGTGTAGGAAGCTTCCCCCAAACAATACCCTCTATTTAACTAACACCTCATTATAAGGTACGAGTTTTTTCAGTCTTAAGGGAGGAGCCTCCTCTCTATAAGTTACTCACAAAAACACCTCTATTTAAGGGACGATAATAAAATTAGATAGTCTACTAGGTGTAGGAAGCTTTCCAAGAGATACCCTCTATTTAACATTCACCCATTATAAGGTACAGCTTTTTCAGTCCTAAGGGTCATCTTATAGTGAGGCTTAATTTCTTATTCATTATTTTCATTACGAATTAACAAAGAATCTCTTCTTTCCCCGACTTCATTCGACTCTTCTTGGTCCTCCTCCTCTTCTTTAGAATCCACTTCCATAAGATCCCTGTCGTCATTTAAGCGTGGACGTCGTCTTGTAATAGCCGAACATTGCCCGTTAGAGAATGATGAATTGGAAATTAATGTTGTGGCTGTTGTATTGAGTGAAAAGGTACGTGAAGTATCACTAGAAAATTTAAAAAAATTTGAAGTTATGAGGAAAAATATTTGCGGACGTCCGCAAAAATCTTGCGGATTGTCCGCAAAAATCTTGCGGATTGTCCGCAAAAATATTTTTGCGGACAACATCCTCAAATTTTCTAACCCTAATTTTGGCGCTCTCTGTTGTCCAGTCACTACACGGGAAGAATCCTTCGCCGCACTTATAGACTGTCGTTTTTGTTGTTGTCCTTCCTCACACATCATTAGGCCTTCGCGAACACGTGATTCTCGTCGAATCATTGCTCGTCGTCGGCTACTGAAATAAAAATATGTTTAAAAATTAATTAAAAATTTACTCTCGTTGTCCAGGAGCTAGCGGACCGAAAGGACTTCTTGAATGAGAAATTGATTCTTCTGTTGAATCGCCGTGTCGAAGCAGACACCTTGCGGGTGCTGATCGAAAAACTAAATATCTAAGTTGGCGGCACTCGTCTCGAATGTTAAAAGAAAAGTAGCCATACTTGAAAAAAAATTATGTATTAAAAATAATTTTTTTGTCCGCAAATATTTTAGCGGACAAATTAAAAAAAATTTTTTTTAATTATAAAAATTAATATTTACCAGGTAAGGAGAAATGGCAGAATTAAAACTAAAAAAAAATTTAAAAATATATTATTCAAAGAATAAATTACACAGCAAAGGCATATAAAAATTTGCTGAGCAATGGAGAAATTGGACGAGCTTCTGTTTGAACTCGAAGGAAGTGAATAAACATAGCTATTGTATAAGGCGTCCAACAAAGAAGAAAAGCTAATACCAGAACAAGTGTCATTTTAAGCTAAAAGTAAAAATTAAAAATACATTTAGGTATTTAAATTAAATTGAGACAAAACATGAAAATGAACAAAAATACAGAAAAACACAAGTGTTTTGTTTTGTATTTTTATTCTGATTTTTTAGTTATAATTTGTGTTTTTGTTGTAGTTTTATTTTCTGATTTTCTGTATTTTTTGTATTTTATTTTCCTCTTTTTTGTTTTAGTTGTATTTTATGTTCTGATTTTCTGTATTTTTATGTTCTGATTTTCTGTATTTTTTTGTATTTTATTTTCCTATCATTGTATTTTTGTTGTATTTTTTGTTCTGATTTTCTGTATTTTTTGTATTTTATGTTCTGATATTTAATATTCTGATGTATTTTGTCTGTATTTTTAAATTCTGATTTTTTGTATTTTTGATGTATTTTATGTTCTGATTTTCTGTATTTTTTTGTATTTTTTGTTCTGATATTTTATGTTTGATGTATTTTGTTTGTATTTTAAAATTCTGATTTTTGTATTTTCTTTTAATATTTTTTGTATTTCACTTATTAAAATAATAAACCAACAGTTTTGCTTTTGGCCCTCTCATACGAATCGCCTCCACCCGTTCGCCTTAGTCCATTGTTCATATTTGTTGCTGCAACACTTGGTCTCTTACTCCAATTAATATTATTGTTATTTTCTCCTCCCGTTGTTCCATAATATTTTGGTTGTGTTTTGCTAAAATACAAAGAAGCTGGGACGGTTGCCAAACTGCTGGTACGTCGCCAACGAGCAGAACGACCTTTTAAAAAATTTTTTCAGAATAAAAAAAATTTTTTACCAGCAGCCAATTGCTGATGAATTTCATGTCCACGTAATAAAGCCAATTTTGTAATATTCCTTTGCTCTTTAGGAGGCTGTTCTGGTTCTGAAGCTACTTTTGTGTCTTTACTTTTTAATGAAATTGAAACAAGAATAGATCCATAACAAAATAAAATAACAAACAAAGGGATAAAATAAACCTAAAATTTAAAGAAAAATTTTTTTGGTGATTTTTTGCAAATTTAAATTTCTTTGCTAGCGTAAGAGGAAAAATAAGCCCATGTCTATTTATTCTGATACTTCCAATTTCAGAATTTTATAAAAACATGTATTTTTTATATAAACCAGAATTTATGAAAAACTTGTATTTTATAAAGAATCAGAATTTTATAAAAATCAGAATTAAAAAATCAGAATTAAAAAGACCAGAATTTTATATAAACCAGAATCTAATAAAAACATGTATTTTATAAAAATCAGAACTTAAGAAAAACACAGAATTTTAAAGAAAATACAAAAACCAGAATTTCATTAAAAATACAAAATAATTCAGAATTAGGGGTAAAATACAAAAATACAATTTTGTATTTTATTTTTTAAATTCTGATTTTTATTTTAATAAAATTATTTTTTAATTAGAAAAATATCAAAAAACTACTTGAACAATATTTAAAACAGAAAACCAATAAATAACATTTGGGGATAATAATCCAATTATATCAGCAGATACACATTGCTAATTAAATAAAAAAATAATTTTTTAATTTAAATAATTAATTTAACTGTAAATTCAGTAAAACAAGGATGCCTGGCTGTCCGAAATATATAAACTTGGGGTAAACTGGATAAAGCAGCAACAAGCCTAACAAAAATTAAGAAAAAAATTTTTTTAAATATTATTTTATTATTTTAAAAACAAAAATTTTGCGGAAAATATTTGTGGAGAAAATGTTTATCCGCAAATTTTTTGCGGACATCCGCAAAGTTTTTTGCGGACGTCCGCAAGATTTTTGCGGACAAAAAAAATTTTTTTTGGGGTTTTTTGGTCTGATGACATTTTATAAAATTAATTTAAGTTTAATCATCTTATCTTTTATCATTTAATCATTCAAAATAAATTTTTTATTTAAAAAATTACCAAGCAGCAATAACCATCCTTTGAACACTCCTTTTAGCATTAATTACATAAAGTGGAAAAAGTATAGAATAAAAACGATCAAGGCTTAGACAGACTAAAATGCCTGCTGACAAGGCAACACCAAAAACGTCTGAAAAAATTTTATTTTTTTGGATTCTTTTCGGAATTAACTTGCCAAAAAATTTGCACAATCTGCAGAGTAAATCTCCTCCTAGCCAAGCTATAGTTAAATTATGAACAATTTCTTTTGGTATATAAACCTGTGTGTTAAATAAAATTGAACAATAAATTTTTTAAAAATTTCCCTAAATTTATTATTTAATTATTTATCAATTTACTAATTTAAAAATATATTTTTGCGGACATTAAAAAATATTTGAATTTTGAAATTTAATTAGAATTTAAATATCCTACCAAGGTAACAAGTAATTGGGCAACTGTCATATGCAGTAAAAGTGAATGTACACGCCTTCTTTTAATGCACTGATTTCTTAAAATTTAAAAATATTTTAAAATATTAAGTAGGAATTTAAATAAAAATTTGCGGACAAAAAAATTTTGTCCGCAAATTTTTTGCGGACAAAAAATTTTTTCTTGCGGACAAAATTTGCGGACAGTAGGGAATCACTAAAAAAATAATTTTTCTTTTGGAGAGAAAATATTTTTTTTATTTTTTTTTTATAGAGAAAATATGGGCTATTGGTAGATGTCCGCAAACATTGTCCGCAAAAATAATCCGCAAAAATTTTTCCAAAATTTTTTTTTTAAATTACCTAAATAAAATGAGGAACATAAACCCATTTCCAATTAATGATAAAACAAAAACAGCACTTAAAAAAATAATTTTGAAATAAAATTTAAAAAATTTTGAAATAAAATTTAAAAATTTTAATTTACGAATAACAAATAGCAACAGATCCATTATGACTCCAACGAAAGCGCATAGTTGGAGGGAGTTCTATTATAGAAGAACAATTCATTTTATTTTTGATTAAATTAGAGAATAATTAATTCATTAAATAATTAAATTAATAAGAAAAGTCTGAATTAATTGAAAAAATAATTAAAAATTTTGCGGACAAAAAAATTTTTGCGGACAAAACTTGCGGACAAAAATTTTTTGCGGACAAAACTTGCGGACAAAAAAATTTTTTTGCGGACACTTTTTGCGGACAAAAAATTTTTTTCATTAAATCGATTAAATAACAGTTTAAATATGCCATTCTTATCACTCTTGACATGTTTCAGCGTTTCCAAAAAATTGTTTGAAGACGGTAAGGTACTCGTGGATAGAAGGATAAGGTTGGATATACCTTAAATAAAAATCCGTATTTTGGTCCAAAATCTTTTTTAGTAAAAATCTATTGATAAATTTAAATTCTCCATACTTTAAAGAGCCAAAATTCAAAATATAACTGAAAAATAATTTTTTAGAGGGGAGATATGAATTTTTGAAAATTAGTGATTTTAGCAGATTATTTAATTTTTATAAGGGGAAAATAAAAAAATCCGTATTTGGTCCAAAAAATTTTTTTGGAAAAAATCTATTAATAAATTAAAATTCTCCATACTTTTAAGAGCCAGAATCCAAAATATAACTGAAAAATAATTTTTTCGAGGGGAGATATGAATTTTTAAAAAGTGGTGATTTTGGGAGATTATTTAATTTTTATAAGGGGGACCCATTTAAAAATCCGTATTTTGGTCCAAAAAAATTTTTTTTGGAAAAATCTTTTAATAAATTAAAATTCTCCATACGTTAAAGAGCTAGAAATTAAAAACCTAGCGGAAAAATAATTTTTTAGAAGGTAGATATGAATTTTTAAAAAGTGGTGATTTTAGCATATTATTTAATTTTTAAAAGGGGGACCCATTTAAACATTTTTATTTTGGTCTAAAAAATTTTTTTTGAAAAAATCTATTATTAATTTAAATTCTCCATACTTTAAAGAGCCAGAATTCAAAATATAACTGAAAAATAATTTTTTAGAGGGGAGATATGAATTTTTGAAAATTGGTGATTTTAGCAGATTATTTAATTTTTAAGGGGGGAAAAGAAAAAAATAATTTTTTCCTTTTTTTAATAAATACTATTTTTAACCCACGCTTGAATAATAAAAAAAAATAAAAATAATAAAAATGAGTAGTCAATAAAATGAGGATATTTTACTAAAAAAGGTTAGAAAATGAAAAAGGAAGCAAAAAAAGTTTTTTTGAAAAAAAAATTTTTTCCCGAGTGTTTTATGATATATTTAAATAAATTATTTATTTAAATGAAAAGAATGATTAAATAGATAAAATATTTATTTAATTAATTAATGACCAATAAATTAAAAATGTAGCAATTTTATTCCCATAGTGAAATTTTTCTAAGAAAAAAATGAAAAAATCTGTCAAATGAAAAATTTAGAGGTTAAAAACCTCATTGAAGGAAAGAAAACCTCAGACCTCTCATTAGCCTTTAGGACTGAAAAAAATCGTAACTTATAATAAAGGGTGTCTTAAATAGAGGGCATCGTTTAGGAAGCTTCTTTACCCAATAGCCCACTCAATTTAGAAAAATGTCTCTTAAATAGAAAATGTCTCTTATAGCGAGAGTTACTTATAGAGAGGTTTGACTTATAATGGAGTCTCTTAAATAGAGGGTATCGTTTATAGGAAGCTTCCCCACCCAATAGCTACATATTTTTAAAAAGCGTCTCGTAAATAGAAAACGTCTCTGATAGCGAGAGTGTATTATAGTGAGGATTAATACATGATGATGCTTCTCTTAAACAGAGGGTATCGTCTAGAAAGCTTTCTCACCCAACAGCCTATCCAATTTTAAAAAGCGTCTCTTAAATAGAGATGTGTCTTATAGCGGGAGTTCTTATAAAGAGGTTTAACTATATGATGAGGAGTCTCTTAAATATCTTTAAATAGCTCCCACACCCAATAGCCCACCCAATTTAAAAAATGTCTCTTAAATAGAGGTGTGTGTCTTATATTGAGGTTTCACGTATGCTAAGGAGTCTCTTAAATAGGGGGTATTATTTAGAAACTCCCCCACACAATAGTCAACCTAGTTTTTAGAAATGTCATTTAAATAAAAAGGTGTCTTATATTGGGGGTATCCTAAAAAGAGGTTTAACCATATAATGAGGAGTCTATTAAATAGAGGGCATCGTTTAGGAAGTTCCCCACCCAATAGACAAGCCAATCTTTAAAAAACGTCCTTTAAAGAGAGATGTGTCTTATATTGGGGGTATACTAAAAAGGGGTTTTCCTTGAAAAATTTATTCCTATTTTAAATAAAACATCACTCAACACAACAACATTTTTTATTTTGAATAATTTGAGCTTAAAAAATAATGCAAATGTGTGTGTGTGTTTCTCGAAATTCGAGTCCACCAACCAACCACCAACCAACTTTTCATCTCCCTCATTTCATTGAATAAATATATTAAAAGAAAATGAGCATTTATAAATAAAATATGAATAAATATACGAGTGTTTCCAATAAATTGTCAAGTTTCCCTCAAAAAAAAAGAAAAAAAATTACTCAATAAAAGTGAAATGACCCTTATTAGGCTTAAAATGGAGACTTAAAGTGGATTAAAGTTGAACAAAAAAGTTGAAGAAAGGAAGGGATTAGGAGATTAATTAATGTTTCGATGGAAGGAAGGAGTGAAGAAAAGTGAACAAAGGGGAAAGATTTGAAAGGAAGGGAGGAGATTTTAGAAGGAATTCTGAAAGCTTGTCCTGTTCCTCATCATCTATTCGGTCCTAATTTATGGAGAATTGATTAGGATGACGAAGAGGAAGAAGATGAATTTAACGAGACACGCCCAAAACGGCGCGCGGCCATAACGGCGCAAAGCATTAACTTACTTGAAGATTTCTGAATCTTATCAAATTTAGTATCAAACTAGTCCTCTCATCGAGATAAAGAGATTGGTACCAAAATTGTTATGGGCCAGACACATTCCAGTAAGTTATGGCTTTGCGCCGTTATAGCCGCGCGCCGTTTTGGGCTGTACCCGAATTTAACATTAAAATTTATTCCATTTAAAATACCCTAATATAGACAGCTTCTATATTAGGGTATCTTATAAATTGATTTAAGTATTACATTTCTATTAGAGAGTGTTGTTTGTTGCCAGAGGTGGGTTGGGACAGTCCGAGGCGTCGGAAACTGGAAGAGCCGGAAATCGGGACTGGCTTAAAAGTCGGAAATCAATCGGAAGGAAAAAACGCCGGAAGTCGCAATTTTGACTCACATGCGATTGTTGCGGACAAATCTTGTAGATATTTGTAAGCAATAATCCGCAAAAATTGCCCGCAAAAAAAGCTACTTTAATAAAATTTTTTTAAATAAAAGTTTAACAGAAAAATGTATATTAAGGACAACAAACGAAATAAATTTTCTTCTCAAAAAAACATTTTTTTCTTCATCATAAAACTAAACAAAAAATAAAATTTTTTCATCCTTAATCTCCAAAGAGGTCTGTGTCAAATATTTTAGTAGATTATTCGATTTGGCTTTTAATAAATTTTAAAAAGAAGGGGGAAAATGCTTGCGACAAAAAATTTTTTTTTGTTAGTTTAAAAAGGAAAAAATAAAATTAAATATAAAAATGTATAACAAAGGAAAGGCAAAAAGAGTAAGAAAAAAATTTTTAAAAAAATTTTTCTTTGTTTCATGTAAAAAATTAATAATAGGAATTTAATTTATAGTATATATCCCTTTATTAATTCTATATTAAAATTGTATTGGAACCAAACCTCGATATAATAATTTTCAATTTAACAGGCTACTATTTAGAGATTGGCCTGGGTCTGGACCAAGGCCTGGGTTTTCCTGTACCCAGAGTCCCGACCTAGGCAGTTTTTGAACTTCCTGGGGTTTTCATGGTCCTGGGGGTTGCCCAAGATCCGGGCCAGTTCAATAAATCAAACCCAGTTCTACAAGGAACTTTTCTGTTTTCAAAGATTCGGGGAAATCCATGGATATCCGGTCAGTGAATTTTTGGATACTCGGCCGGAATCGAATAAGAAAATCCTGACCGAGATTTTAAACATTAAACGTCTTTTTCTCTTCTTACAAGTTTCAGCTTGTACGTCATCTTTCGTGTTGGAACATGTATGAAGAGAAGGAAATGTTTGAGGTATGGTTGGGGGATCTGGATATCCAAAAAATTTTGGTCAGATTTCCGGATTCCCAAGATCTGCCAACCTTAGCTCGGATTTCCGGATACGACATACGGATTCTGGTTCCTGTCGGATATCGGAAATTTTCGGATCCGGAACCAGATATCCACGGATCCCCAAGATCCGCCAACCTTAGCTGGAGGGGACGTTCCTTAGTTGGAAGGGACGTTCCAGATATTTAAGAGAGAAAGGGAAGGTAAACAAACAAAATATCCAAGTTGTTGTTTATATCTATTGTTTTAAATAACAAAATTGAGGAAATAAATTTTTTTTATTTTTGAGGAGAAAAGGAGAGAATTTTAGAGTCGAAACGATTTTTGCCGTTTTGACTTTTTTTTTTCTAATTTTTCCTCAAAAAAATATTTGAGGGGCACACTTTCTTATTTAAATTGGATTTGTGTTCCTAGCATTTCAAAGAAATAATGAAAACAAGAAAAAAGGAAAAATATTTTAAAAAGGGATATATATTAATAAATATTTTATGAATTTATATATTTTTAGTAGGGAGAATTTAGAAAATGGCTAGAGAGAAAATTTTTGTGTGTATTTTTCTAAAGGACTAAAATAGAGGTGGGACCCCCAATATAAGATGTTTCCAATGTGATGGGTCCAACCCCCAGAATACTGTAATAAGGGAGGGGATATGTCCGGGACTTTCTAGGAGGAACTCATGGGTTGATCAGGCCCTTGATATTAAGACCATAATAGGGTGTGATTATAGAACCTTTTAAATGAGTGAGAAAGGGGAGGAAATGAACAAGACAATAATGGATACAAACTAGGGTTGGTCCCCGTCCCCGAAAGTCGGGGAATT